ATTCACTTGTTGATAGATATGTATTTATTGTTCATAATTTTTATCTTTATTTTCTTCCTCTTCTTAAAGAATACCTTATAGCATTTTATATAATACTGGTTGGTGGTGATGAACTCCTTTAGCTTTTTCTTATCTGTGAAGATCTTTATCTGACCTTCAATTCTGAATGATAGCTTTGCTGGGTAGAGTAATCTTGGTTGTAGGTTCTTGCTATTCATCACTTTGAATATTTCTTACCACTCACTTCTGGCCTGCATAGTTTCTGTTGATAAATCAGCTGACAATCATATGGGTGCTCCCTTGTAGGTAACTGTTTTTCTCTTGCTGCTTTCAATAGTCTCTCTTTGTCTTTTGCTCTTGGCATTTTATTACTATGTGTTTTGGTGTGGTCCTTTTAGGATTCCTTTTGTTTGGAGTTCTCTATGCTTCCTGGACTTGCAAGTTTATTTCTTTCACCAGGTGAGGGAACTTTTCAGTCATTATTTCTTCAAATAGGTTTTCAGCATCTTGCTCACTCTCTTCTTCTGGCACCCCCATAATTTGGATGTTGGTATGCTTGAAGTTGTCCCAGAGGCTCCTTACATTATCTTCATTTTTTCATTCTTTTTTCTTTTTGCTTTAACGGTTGGATGTTTTTTGCTTCTTTGTATTTCACATATTTGATTTGATTCTTGCAATCTTCTAATCTGCTGCTGGATCTCTGTATTATTTTTTATTTCGGTCAGTGTATGTTTAATTTCTAGTTGGTTCTTTTTAATATCCTCGAGGGTCTCGCTAAATTTAGCAGTCTTTTCCAGAAAATTCTTGAAAAACCTTATCTTTGGTTTTGAACTCTATATCCAGTAGTTTGCTTTCCTCCATTTCTTTCATTTGTGACCTGTTTTTTTGTCTCTGCATTTTTGCTGCTTCCCTGAGTTGATAGAATGGCTGCTTCCCTGAGTTGATAGAATGGCTGCTTCCCTGAGTTGATAGAGTGGCTTTGTGTGCTAGGTGTCCTATAGTGCCCTGTGGTTCAGCCTCCCCAGTTACCTGAGGTGGACACTCGTAGTGCATCCCTTTGTGGGCTGTGTGCACAGTCTTGTTGTAGTTAAGTCTTGATTGTTGTTGGTATTACTGGGAGGAATTGACCTCCAGGACAACTGGCTGTGAGGATCAGCTGTGTCTATGATGGGAGAACTTGTATGCTGGAGATACCCTTATGAGACAAGATTTGCTTCAGGAGGGCTTTGGTGCTCACTGAGTCTGCCCCTGAGTGTGTCCCTTATGGATCTGAGGAGTTATAATCTGGATGGTCCTACTCTGACTCCTGGGTACATTGGTTCTTGGGTCTCCAAGGAGGTACCAATTTAGCCTCTGCCTGAGGCCACCCAGCAGGAGCTATGGAGAGATCTGCGGATTCCTCTTCTTTGTTTGGGTTTTGGAGGTGCCCAGATGAGGCCCAGCTGTGAAGCAATGCTGTGGGGCCTTGGGCCTTCTTTTGGATTTTTAAAAAAATATATATTTTATTGATTTTTTACAGAGAGGAAGGGAGAGGGATAGAGAGCTAGAAACATCGATGAGAGAGAAACATCGACCAGCTGCCTCTTGCACACTCCCTACTGGGGATGTGCCTGCAACCAATGTACATACCGTATCTTGACCAGAATCAAACCTGGGACCTTTCAGTCCGCAGACCGACGCTCTATTCTTTGAGCCAAACCGGTTTCGGCCTTTTGGATGTTTTGTTCACCATCATTTTATACCCTGCAGTTAGTATAGTGTCTGACACACCCAAGGGTTTCATACCTTAATAATTTTTAAAAAATTAAAATGGTACTAAAAGACCATTGCATAAAATTCACTTGCTTTAAGTGTAAAATTCAATGATTCTTAGTAAATCTACAGTTTTGCAATCATCACCACATCCAGTTAGAGAACATATAAAAGATCTGGAAAAAATTCCTCCTGTCTATTTTCAGCCAATCTTTGTCACACTCTCAAGCCCCTAGGCAATAACTGATTTGCCTTCTGTTACTAGTTTAAAATTTTCTACTCCTCAAAGAACATTTTTAAGAGAATGAAAGACAAACCAAAGAATGGGAGAAAATATTTGCAAAATATATACCAGGTAAAGGGCTTGTATCCAGAATGAACTCAAAACACTATCCAGTTCTAAGAAAATAACTAAGTAAAAGGGGCAACAGATTTCAACAAATACATCATCAAGAAAGACATAAGAGTGACAAATGAGCACATGAAAATCTGCTCAATATCAATAGTCTTGAAGGAAACACAAATAAAGCAAAATAGTCTAATGAGATACCATTCCACACCTATTAGGATGACTAAAATGTAAAAGACTGACATTGGATAGGATGTAGAGGAACGGAATTCAAATCCTGATGGTCAGAGAGAGAGAGAAACATCGATTGGTTCCCTTCCATCAGTCCTCGAATGGCAATCAAACCCAACCGTTTGATGTATGGGAGGGCACTCAACCAACTGAGGCACTCTGGGCACACTAAAATAAAAAAAAAAAAATTAAGGTTACTTGGTTCTAGCAATTATTTTTTAAAAATTTTTATTGATTTTAGAGAGGAATGGAGAGGAAGAGAGAGAGAGAAACATCAATGATGAGAGGGAATCATTGATTGGCTGCCTCCTGCACATTGTACAGAGCCCACAGCCCAAGCATGTGCCCTTGACCGGAATGAAACCCGGGACCCTTCAGTCCACAGGCTAACGCTCTATCCACTGAGCCAAACTGGCTAGGGCACTAGCAATTATTTTTTATTTTTTAAAATTGATTTTAGGGAGAGAGAGAGAGATCAATTTATTGTTCCATTTATGCATTTATTGGTTGATTCTTATATATGCCCTGACCTGGGATGGAACCAACAACCTTGGCTTCTGGGATCAATGCTCTAACCAACAACTACACAGCCTGGGTGGTTCTAGCAGTTTTTAAAAATTTAGGTGAATTTTACATAACGTACAACTAACTATTTTAAGGGGCATTTAGTATATTCCCAATGTTATTCAACAACTAATCAGCAATATCTTTTTTATTTATACCTAGCAACATCCACAGTGCTGTTTTTACATATACTTTAACATTTGCATCTAACATTTTTTATATTTTTTAACAAAGTTAAAAAGGGCAAAATAGCTCAAATTACAATGTTATGTTTTTCATACTGAGTAGCTCCTCACACACACATACACATATACAATACATACATGTGTGTGAACAGAAAGGGAATACTTGAATACTCAGCTATGCTAGAATTCAATTTCCTAAGAAATCCTCATACTTCATTCATTGTTATCCTGGATCTTAAAACAGGCTGCCAACCTATCATTTCTGTGACAGCTAATGAAAAATATGATGGCTATACATTTGTGCATTCAAGGTAACTCCCTGAGCTTATTTGGTGCCAGTCACCAAAATAAACACTGCAGATTTCACTTAGTTCATTCTGGAAAGATTGTCAGTCTGCTCTTTGACTCAGCACTGTATATCATCATCATCATCATCATCATCACTGTCGTGGTTATCATTATTTTCATTTAGTAAAATCAAGTGGGCAAACCAAAGAATAGGTAAGTCCATTCCTGCTAAATTGTTTCTTCTTGTACTTTCTGTTTTCACTATTTTGGGAACAGTTGAGACCATCTTTGTTTCACCTTGTAGTTCAGTGCTGCCTCTGGGTTGCCTGTCTTGAGAAGAATCCACTTTGTGCTGGCTGTCCTCAGCAACTGCCTCTAAGGCACTCAGTTTTGAGCACATCTCTGGTTACTAGATCTAGACTGTTTTCTCCTGAGATGTCTTGGCTTTCATATTTTCTTTCCACACGTTAGGAAAAGTCAGTCTTCCATTTGCTTCTTTTGAGCCCTGTCCAAATGAAGCAATAGGGAGAGCTGAGTTACTCAGGGTGGGTTTCCCCTGAAGGCAGGTCCTCTCCCCTCACTGCTGCACAGTCAGGGATATTTCTCTGGTGTGTTTTTGTTTTATGTCAAATTCTTGCCTCACCAGGAATTGGTGAGCCTCTTCCTGGGAGGATGTAATAGTGTGTGGTAGCGGTATCAGCTGAAACTCTCCTCTTCAGCTCAAACGGTAGAGACAGAGGGGGAGCTGCCATCACTTTCCATGAGGTGGTTTCTCCCTGTAAATTCTTCTAAATCTCTAGTGTGTACAGGAGCCAGTAGCCTTGCTGCATGTGCTGGAGGGGAAGGCTATGGAGGAGAGGCAGACTCCAAGCCAGTCTTTTGGTCATTTCAGCATCACCGACCAGCCAAGATGTGTTTCCATAGAAAGAAAGAACTCTGCAATTAAGTAGCTTAGCTTCTCATGTTTTTCTTGAAACAAATTTGTAGAACCACCGCTCCAGGAACCATTTTAATCGGGTTTTAGTTCTCAGACTCTAATCACAGCAGAAGAGGCAGCTAGACATCTTTTATTTACTATTCATAAATATGAATTGGTGTTCTTTTGCTGTAATACCCCGTTTTCACCTATATGTAGGGTAACTAGTTTATTACAGGCTGATTGTAAACTGCTTTTTAATTAGGTATGCAGTTTTGGAAATCGTTACAGTGTTTGGTTTTGACTTGTAAAAATACATTTTGCATATAACTCCAAAACGTTTCTCTTTACAGATACCTGCCACTACAATCATGGTAGTTTTCTATTGCTAGAAAGGTTTATTTTAAATAAAATAAGAGTGAATCAAGGTAAAGGAAGTAGTGCATAATAACACAAGTGGTTTGCAGATGCACCCAAACTAGAGACAGTGGTACCCAAACCACCAGAGTTTGGGAAACTGGTCTCCCCGGAACGGAGGGGTGGGTGCGAGGAGACTATGGAAGCCGGGAAGGCCACGGAGAAGGTGTAAACGGAGACCTGGTGGGAACGACGGCCCCGCCTCCCTGCCAGCGCGCCCAGTGCGCAGGCGCAGCGGGCTCGGCCTCAGGGCGCAGGCGCAGCGGGCTGGGCCGCAGTGCGCAGGCGCAGCGGGCTCGGCCTCAGTGCGCAGGCGCGGGGCGAGCGCCGGCCGGGACCCGGCGTCCGCGGGAGCCGAGCTCACGCCGCGGGGATGAGCGCCGTGGAGGCCGACCACTGGGCGTGGCTGCTGGTCCTGTGCTTCGTGTTTGGGTGCAACGTCCTCAGGATCCTCCTCCCGTCCTTCTCCTCCTTCGTAAGTGGCCGCCGCCTTCCGGGGCCGGGGGGCCGGCCTCAGTCCCGCCGAACCGGGCGCAGACACGGGGCTCTCCCACCGGCCGCGCGATGGCCGCATTCGGCCCCCGGAAGCGTCTCCGGTGGACCCTTCCGTGTTTTAAGAAATACTCACACACACACACACACACACTCACACACACACACACACACACACACACACACATACGTAAGAGGAACCCCTGGCGACACTGGGCCAGTTTTCAGTTTTCAGGTGGCAGCAATGTTCGGGTTGGCGTTCCTAGTGCTCCCCCCTCCCCCATTTCCGTTATTTCCTCGCTCGGGAGGCTCCGGCGGCCCCGGCTGCCAGGGGCACAGTGCCCGGAGCAGCGCGGCGCCCAGGGGTTGCCCGAGCCTCGGTCTTCCTCGCAGGCCCCGGAGAGATGGGTCTAAGGGTGCAGGAGCCCCATTCTGGGGGTGGGGTGGTTGGCAGTGTGGACCGAGAACCGCACGATGGTGCGATGCCACCTTTCTTCAGGGCAGCGCCGGGCGCCGTCTCAGCGGGCACCTTGCCAAGGGGAGTGCCTTACCGCGTGTCCAGCTGTCATGGCTGCGGTGAGAGGTGCCTGTCCTCCCCAACTCCTTGACCTCCCAGAGGGGTCTGACTCACATAGGCGTCCAGTTAGGGACCGTTGGGTCGGAAGTTTGATTCTTTTTTAAAAATATAGTTCTTTATTGACTTCAGAGAGGAAGGAGAGGAGGAGAGAGAGAAACATCAATGATGGGAGAGAATCATTGATCGGCTGCCTCCTGCACACCCCCTACTGGGGATCGAGCTGCAAACCAGGCCTGTGCCCTTGATCGGAATTGAACCTGGGACCCTTCAGTCCGCAGGTCGACACTCTGTCCTTTGAGCCAAACCAGCTAGGGCCGAAGTTTGATTGTTTTGTGGTCTCTTACTCCTGCTCCTACCGGGGCAGCTTTGGGGATGTGTGGGAGAAACCTGAGCTGTTCCCTGGGGAAGGGCGCCCTCTATTGGCCCACCGTGGTAGTGAGGGGCTGTCTGACCCGGACTGAGACCTTGGACAGTGGGTGCAGGGCCTGCAGCATTATTCTGGAAACTCAGTTCTCCCTGCTTTGCTCTCCTGATACAAACTGCTGCTGGCGATGGGTATTTAAGACTGGGCAGGATTTCTACTGTTTTTGTGTTTTGTCCTATCAGTATTCACTGAGAGCTTGTTTTGTGTAACGCCCGAGGCCCTATGTTCTGAGGCACAGAGACCTCTCTTAGCGTCCATGCAGAATCTCTCCTGATGCTGCCTGGTCTTTAAGATCATGTCCCAAGTTCTTATAATTGCATGAACGACTCTTGAAGAGCTGTGCCCTGGCCGTTTTTCTTCTTTTAAGAAAATTATGCCTTAACTGTTTTTGGCTCAGTGGATAGAGCATCAGCCTGCGGATGTTCGTTCTATCAGCACTACTCACAATAACCTGCCCTTGGCCGGAATCGAAGCTGGGACCCCTGAGTCCGCAGGCCGACGGGCTATCCACTGAGCCAAACCGGTTTCGGCTAGCGGCTGTTAATCATTTAGATGAAAGAGGATTCGGTTTGACCTTGGACCTGGTCACATCAGTGCTGCTGCTTACAGGCTCTAGAACCTTTCTATTCAATAAACGCCAACCAGTTAGCTTTCTTAAATCTCGCTCCCCTTGGTTATGGCACTATTTGTTGGGATTGTTAGCTAGGTTCAGGTTTTCTTGGTGTCCCACCCTGTTCCACCTGGTTCCTGGGTTGGTGCTGAGGGTCAGTGAACAGCTGGAAGGAACGTACTGGCCCCTGTACGTAAAGTGCTGCACCGTCATAGGCCCTGGGTTTTTTTTTTTTTTTTTTCACTTTTAAAATATATATATATTTTATTGATTTTGTACAGAGAGGAAGGAAGAGAGATACAGAGTTAGAAACATCGATGAGAGAGAGTCATCGACCAGCTAGCTGCCTCTTGCACACCCCCTACTGGGGATGTGCCCGCAACCAAGGTACATGCCCTTGACTAGAATCGAACCCGGGACCCTTCAGTCCCCAAGGCGATGCTCTTTCCATTGAGCCAAACCGGTTTCGGCCCACTTTTTTTTTTTAAATTAAATTATTATCTGTGTACATATTTTAGCCTTCCCCCTCCCATACATGGCCCTGGTTTTAGGACCACGTGGGAAAGGCTCCCGGGAGGAAGAGTTTGATGGGGAATGGGCCACACCCCTGGACCTCAGATCATAACCTTGCAGTGTTTCTGATCGTGTCCGTCCAGCCAGAAGCAAGGGAGGGGTGCGCCATCCCGCTGGCTGGCCCCGGGCCCGAGCCCCTGAGGAAGACTAACGTCGGGAATCCTCTGCCCAGCACAGCCTTGCCAGGTCCTGAGGGGGATCTCAGCGAATATTGGGATGGGATGCGGGCCTGGGTAAGGACACCCTAGACCCTGGTGTTGACTTGGACTTTCCTGAGCGCTCTTGCTTTTTCCCCTTCCAGCTGGTCACAGGACACATGGGTGAGGGACCAGGTTCATTTGCAGGGCTTGCTTTTAGTCACAGGCGGCCGGAGGGGACTCTTGAGCACCCAGTCTGCATGGGGCACAGGAGGTGCACTGCGCAGGCGCCCTGGACTCACAGTGGAGGGCGGTGTGAGGGACCCAGCGAGTCACATGTTCTGCGCAGGCGCCCTGGACTGACGGTGCAAAACCCGGCTCCCCTTGTCCTAATATGTTCGTTGGAGGAATCCTTTGTCACTGCTCTCCCTCCGCCGCCCCCTGTGGAGAACGGATGCTGCTGGGCTCTGCTAGTGTTTGGCTGGGGGTCTTGTCCTCCTCTGACTCCCACCTCGGGTAGCTTTCCGGAGACGCCCATGTCACTGTGCTTGGCTCGGCCCGGCCCCTTCTCGCCAGGGTCCCCTCGGCAGGAAGGCCCTCACTGTGCCGGGGCGGAGCCCTCCTCTGGCGCCCTGCACCCGCATCCCGCTGCCTCCCTGACTTAGGACCGGGTTCTTCAGGGGGGAAGGAGATGCTGGTCCGTGCACCTGAATGCAGCTCCGGGAACGGAAACAGGTTTTATTGTGTAACTCCGATTTTATAGTTATAGTGAAAGATACACATATCTACCATAGCAATCCATTGGCATGTCTTCCAAAGGAAAAATATAATGTATAGCGATTCAAATCAGAGGGAGGCTTTTTATTTTTTTTAAATATATTTTTATTGATTTCAGAGAGGAAGGGAGAGGGAGATAGAAACATCAATGATGAGCTGACACCGTTTTGGCTCAGTGGATAGAGCGTCGGCCTGCGGACTGAAGGGTCCTGGGTTCGATTCCGGTCAAGGGCAGGTACCTTGGTTGCGGGCACATCCCCGGTGGGGGGCGTGCAGGAGGCAGCTGATCGATGATTCTCTCATCGATGTTTCTAACTCTCTCTCCCTTCCTCTCTGTAAAAAATCAATAAAAACATATTAAAAAAAAGAAACATCAGTGATGAGAGAATCATTGATTGGCTGCCTCCTGCCTGCCCCACAACCCAGACATGTGCCCTGACCAGAATAGAACCCTGACTCTCAAACACTGAGCCATGCAGGTTGGGCAGACGGGAGGTCTTTTGTTTGTGGTTGTAGAGAGCAGGACCAGGGCCAGGCAGCAGGGGCTGGCTATGTAGGCAAAGGGCAGCCTGCCCAGGCGAGAGAGCCGCAGGGAGGATGGTGGAGGTGAGGAAGGATTGTACCCCACGTGGAAAAGCACTGACCCCTGCTGTCCCTCCGCCAGATGTCCAGGGTGCTGCAGAAGGATGCAGAGCAGGAGTCTCAGATGAGAGCGGAGATCCAGGACATGAAGCAGGAACTTGCCACTGTCAACATGATGGACGAGTTCGCCAGATATGCCAGGCTGGAAAGAAAGATCAACAAGATGACAGATAAGCTCAAAACTCATGGTGCAGTTTTTTTGTTTTGTTTTGAATTTTTATAAGAGTTTATTTGAGCCAAACTGATGACATTGCCGGGAAGCAAGACCTCAAATGCTCCCCTCATGGTACTGTTCTCATTTGTAGTTTTTGGAAAGTTTCATAAGAGCTGATTCATAGAGAAATCTTTTCTGTAAGGATTCGTAGAATACATTGCACTGACTCTTGGATGTTCTAAATGTTGGTATAAACTTTGAAGTTGTCTAGAAGAAACCCAATCATAGTAATTACTTTACTTTCTCTTTATTTTGCTGGTGAACCTTCGCTTTTTAACAGAAACATTCAGGATACTCTTAGGGTTTCTTCAGAGCCAACTTCATAGGTTGTCATTTTCAAATTCAACACTTTTCTGAGAGAAGCCTAGAAAAGAATCTTACAGTGGATACTCAGGAGCTTTCTTTAAAAAAATTTTTTTTTAAATTAATTTCAGAGAGGAAGGGAGAAGGAGACAGAGGTAGAAACATCAGTGATGAGAGGGAATCATCGATTGGCTGCCTCCTGCACGCCCCCTAGTGGGAATCGAGCTTGCAACCTGGGCATGTGCTCTTAACTGGAATTGAACCCGGGACCCTTTAGTCTGCAGGCCAATGCTCTGTCCACTGAGTCAAACCGGCTAGGGTGCCAGGGGCTTTCTTATTCTGTTCTCTAAAAAGTGCTATCCGAGCCGAAACCGGTTTGGCTCAGTGGATAGAGCGTCGGCCTGCGGACTGAAAGGTCCCGGGTTCAATTCCGGTCAAGGGCATGTACCTTGGTTGCGGGCACATCCCCAGTAGGGGGTGTGCAAGAGGCAGCTGGTCGATGATTCTCTCTCATCGATGTTTCTAACTCTCTGTCCCTCTCTCTTCCTCTCTGTAAGAAATCAATAAAATATATATATTAAAAAAAGTAAAAAATAAATAAATAAAAAGTGATATCCGAGTGTAGACTCAGGCTGGGGCTCAGGTCTTCCTCATTTTGATGTGTGCCACTGTCCCTAACAGTCTGCTGTTCCCAGGGCAGCCTGTGTGCTGAGAGCATGCACTGTGAGAGCCGTCTGCATGCCTAGTGAACAGACAGAGGTGCCTGCCCAGCACCCAGGCAGTTCGCCTCCTTTCTGGACTAGTGTACAGTGTAAACCGGGGAATCGGGAGAACCCTTAGTCCTATTGATTGGTAGGTGCATTGTGAAAAGAATCCTGATTTAGATGAATAGCTGTTTCTAAAAAATATATTGATTTCAGAGAGCAAGGGAGAGGAAGAGAGAGAGAAATATCAGAGATGAGAGAGCATCATTGATTGGCTGCCTCCTGCTTGCCTCAGACTGGGGATTAAGCCAGCACCCTGGGCATGTGCTCTGACCTGGCACTGAACTGTGACCTCCTGGTTCATAGGTTGATGCTCAACTATTGAGCCACACCAGTGAGGCTAGATGAATAGCTTTAAGGTTTTTTGTTTTTTAAAAAAATACATATTTTATTGATTTTTTACAGAGAAGAAGGGAGAGGGATAGAGAGTTAGAAACATTGGTCAGCTGCCTCCTGCATACCCCCTACTGTGGATGTGCCCGAAATCAAGGTACATTGACTGGAATCGAACCCGGGACCCTTCAGTCTGCAGGCCGATGCTCTATCCAGTGAGCCAAACTGGTTAGGGTGCTTTAAGGTTTTTTTAAATTAAGGCTGCACATTTCCAAATCTGTGTGTGATTCTATTTTATTTTTAATGTTTGAAAAATAATTTTACTGATTTCAGAGGGAAAAGAGAGGGAGAGGGAGAGGAACATCAATGATGAGAGGTAATCATTGGTCAGCTGCCTCCTGCACATCCCACACCGGGTCAAGCTTGCAGTTCGGGCCTGTGTCCTAACTGGGAATTGAACTGTGACCTCCTGGTTCATAGGTTGATGCTCAACCCCTGAGGCACTTTGGCTGAGCTCTATTTTAAATAATAGCATAGTGGGTGATGTAAGACATTCTATTTTATATTTACATGCATAATTAGACCATATTTTGTGAGACAAAATAGCACTTCTGTGCAGTTGAATATTTTCTTCCCTTTTCAGGGCTGATATAATCATTTCATCCTGTTTTTCCTTCAGTGAAAGCCCGGACAGCTCAGTTGGCCAAGATAAAGTGGGTCATGAGTGTTGCTTTCTACATATTGCAGGTGAGTGTCCTGTGTGTCACTGCTCGTTACAGCGGGAATGGCCTCTGTCCCACGCCAGCCCCTGGAATCCAGGTTTTTCCACCTTCCGCTGCTGAGCTGAGTGCCCTGCAGGCGTGTCACTCCGAAACTCTGAATTTATAGTCGGACGGAAAGGCTTTTTCTGGGTTAGTGTTAACTCTTGGGATTTTTAAGCAAACGAACGCCTAAGCCGCTCCCCTGGAGTTTATGTGGCCTTGGCTCCAGCGCAGGCTTGGAGGCTGGGGGTGAAGTGAGAGAAGGTATTTGGAAATTGTGTTTTCTGAGATGGTCAGTGATTTTGGCTGTTGCTCCCTACACCGTGTACAGATGGGAAGGTGACTGTGGACTCTCCGGGTAGGGACCGTTATCGTCACTAAAGCCCAGGGCCTCTGCCTCACAGCTTTCTGATGGGGGACTTTTACTCGCTTCACCTGAGGCGGAGCTGCTGTGGCTGCTCTGAATGACCTCTGAGGGTCAGTGTAGCATGACGTGGACGGGGGTAAAGGACGCAGGCTATTTGGTTACAGAAAGCACATCGATCCTGAGGCGCTGTCACTGATGGGAGATAGGTTTCTCCAGGGACTGAAGTTAAGCCAGAGGCTCTCTTTTAATTTAAAAAGAAAATAATAATTTAAATTTATTGATTTTAGAGAGAGACAGAGAGAGAGACAGACAGAGTCAGAGACATCAACTTGTTGTTCCACTTATTTAGGCATTCATTGGTTGCTTCTTGTATGTGCCCTGGCTGGGGATCGAACCCATAATCTTGGCATATTGCAGGTGTGGGGACCTTTTCCTGCCAAGGGCCATTGGGATATTTGTAACATCTTTAGAGGGCCATACAAAATTATCGACTTAGCCAAACCAGTTTGGCTCAGTGGATAGAGCGTCGGCCTGTGGACTGAAAGGTCCCAGGTTCAGTTCTGGTCAAGGGCATGTACCTTGGTTGCGGGCACATCCCCAGTAGGGGGTGTGCAAGAGGCAGCTGATCGATGATTCTCTCTCATTGATGTTTCTGGCTCTCTGTCCCTCTCTCTTCCTCTCTGTAAAAATTCAATAAAATATATTTTAAAAAATTATTGACTTAAAAATGAGCCTGCTGTGTGTGGTCAGACATTTAATTAACTCACTCCTGATGCCTTAATAGGGCCAGCCCCAATGGTTTTGCTCGTCTTATATGGCCCGAGGGCTGGACGGTCCCGCCCTTGGATGCTGGGACAATGTCTAACAGACTGAGCTACCGCCCGGTGCCTGGTGCCAGAGGCCCTCTTTCAGGGCAGTTGGAGTGAATATTCAGGCCAGAGGGGACCACGAGGGAAAGCTGCTGGGGAGAGGAGGGAGAGAGCTGCTCTTCCCCCCGCCATCTAAGTGGCAGCGGAAGGCCACTTCTGCACGAGGCGGCCAGCGCTGGAGTGGGGCTGGAGCAGTAACTACTTTTTCAAGGATCTAGAGGCGTAAGGTTGCTTTTGTCCCTCGTACTGTGCATTTACAGAGTCTATTTAAAAGAGGTATTCACTGGGAAAAGAACACTTGTGTTATGGGGAATCTTCGTTATTATCGGCTAATTTAATAGTGTATTTAGTTGGTGTTCAAACAACATGGGTTTGAACTTATATGTGGATTTTTTTTTTTCTCAATATGTTGGAAATTTGTTTTTTAGATTTGTTGAAAAAAAATTTTTTTTATTGATTTTTTTACAGAGAGGAAGGGAGAGAGATAGCCAGAAACGTCGAAGAGAGAGAAACATCGACCAGCCGCCTCCTGCACATCCCCCACCGGGGATGTGCCCGCAGCCAACGTACATGCCCTTGACCGGAATCGAACCTGGGACCTTTCAGTCCGCAGACCGACGCTCTACCACTGAGCCAAACCGGTTTCGGCAGATTTGTTGAAAATTTGACAAAACGCACATATGAACCACTGAATAGCCTAGGAATATTGAAGATATTAATAAAAATGTATCATGAATATATAAAAGATATATTTGTATTTTCTCTTCCTTATAATTTCCTTAACATTTCTTTTCTCTAGCTTAATAGTAAGAACACAGTATATGAAATATATAACATAAAATATATGCTAGTCAGCTGTTTCTCAGCACTAGGCTATTAGTTATGTTTTTGGGGAGTCAGAGGTTACACTGGGAGTTTTGAGTGTGTGAGGTCAGTGCCGCTCACCAGATTGTGCAAGGTCAGCGGTGTATGGCACCGGCGGCTGGGGGCTGCAGGGGCTGGGCTGCTAGGGCTAAGGCCGTCACTGCGGAGCGTCCTCACTGCCTCCGGCTGGCACTCAGCACCGTGTCTCCGCAGGCCGCCCTGATGGTCTCCCTCATCTGGAAGTATTACTCCGTGCCCGTGGCTGTGGTGCCCACTAAGTGGATCACTCCGCTCGACCGGCTGGTGGCCTTTCCCACCAGAGTGGCAGGTAAGGGCTTCCTGGGACACAGCGGGAGAGAGACGCTCAGGAGGGGGTGTGTGGAGGTTAAGTCACCTCCACCTCTTCGTCCATTTCACCGAGGGCGAGGGGGTGGGGGGAGGGCCGTGTGCCTCAGCCTTGAGGGCTGGCCATGAGGAAATGCAGGTCCAGAGAGACGTTCTTGACCTTGTCCGCGGCCACCGAAATGTTAACTAGCAGAGCTAGAGCTCAGGCCAGTCTGCTTCTGGACTCGACCAGTGAGCCATCCCTGCAGCTGGTAGCCTGCTATCCAAACACGACTTCTAGTTCCCAGGTTCTGCGGCCTCTTTTCAGTTCTAGGCACAGCGAGGGCATTTGTGGCTCTCGGCCACTTTTTTATACGTGGAAGGTAATTTCTTGTGCATGTTAAAAGTAGTACACGTCACTGCAGGATGAATAAAGATAAAAGAAAAATGAAAGAAAACTCATTAGCTATGGATTACCCCTCTTAGATTGTGCTATATTTTTCTATTTTTATACAGGGGTGGGCAAAAGTAGGTTTACAATTATGACTACATGAAATAGTTTATTCTTGTATTATTATTTATTCTTGTATTATATATTCCATTGGAACAACTGCAGACCTACTTTTGCCCACCCTTGTATAGTTAAGGTTGTCTAGTTTTTTGTCCCTTTTTACTTTTTTTATAAGCCTTCCATATCAATAAACGTTTCTTTATTAAGGAATTTTGAATAGCTGTTCTTCATTTGGATGTGCCATAATTTACTAATTTTCCTGTTAAAAATTAGGTCCTAAATTTTTCTACCAAGAATAATGCACACGTCCTTTTCAGTGAGTTTTTGGTTGTGATTTGTGGCAATACTGGAGGTGAATTACTAAATAAAAGGAACAGCTTTTAATTTAACCGCTTCCCCCCCCCTCCCCCTCGGTGGGACTCAGCCTTGAGAGCAGTACGGCTGCGAGAGGCCACTCCTCCCGCCACCAGCAGGCCACTGGCCACTCTGACAGCCTGTCTGCCCGTCTCACTGACCAGCGGGACAAGACCCGTGTGGGTACACATTGCTTCATTCATGACGCTCTTTGAGAAGGGAAAACCAAATAATGTCACAGAGTGGTCTGGTAATATCGTAAATAATAAAGCGTATTTCTTGGCAGAGAAGAGGAATTCAGACCAGAGCTCATTGTTCTGTATAAGTTCTGTTTAGTAAGGAAGGCAGCCTGTGAATTAATCAAAGTCTGATGCATTGGAACCCACGAAATACAAACTCTGTCTTAGCCCAGCACTGCTCCGAAAGAACAGAACTACTCTGACTTCCTCTAAGACAGTGGTTCCCAAGCTTTTTTTGCCCATGTCCCACCTGAGCATCTCTGAAGTCCTGATCCCCCGCCCCGTGACATGGAGTTCTTATCATTCAAACGGTGAGCTCCTGCTCGCGCGGAGGAAGCCTGAAGGCCATGAGCTTGTCTAAACACGCTTCCAGTGAACATGGCGGCCATAGACAGAAAAATAAAAGAACAGAAGAACAGCTGAAATATTGAGGAAGAAATCAGTAAGAAATTTAAAAAAAAAAAAAAAAAAAAGAAAGAAAAGAAAAGAAAAGAAAAAAAAAGTGATATGAAAAAATAGCAAAGGTTCAAAACATAAAATAGAGAACTGGCATAAATATGTCACAATACATATTTATATACTGTATAGGAGGCCCCTAGAACCATAAGAAATGCAAAAAATGCACTGTTGGTGACTCCTTCTCCAATGCCCCTGTGGGCGTGGGCGCACGCCGGGAACCAGGCTCAGGAAGGTGGCAGAGGCAGGGGATGTGGGCTAGCTCTGATGCTGAATTTCTTTGTTTTTAGGTGGCGTTGGAATTACCTGCTGGATTTTAGTCTGTAACAAAGTTGTGGCTATTATGCTTCATCCTTTTAGCTGAAAAAGAAGATGAATACAGCTCTGATACTTTTAAAAATGAATTTTCACTTAGGTTAAAAACCTGACTTACACTGTTTTATTGCCTTTTGTTTATTTGTTTAAGGAACAAAAGAGCACGGGCTAGTTCTTTGGATGAATTCGCCTGTTCTTGGACTTGATGTGAGATTCTTATAGGAATTAGATATGTGCACTTGTCATTGAGGCAGCAGGTTTGTGATGAGAAATGTGACATTACAGGCATCTACGCATTGTTACTGGTGATTTGCACACGTGACGTATTTAATTTTTTTTTTTTTTTTACTGATTTCAGAGAGAGGAAGGGAGAGGGAGAGAGAGATAGAAACATCAATGATGAGAGGAAAGGTTCTCATGCATGAACCTTATTGGAGATCAAGCCTGAAACCTGGGCATGTGCCCTGACCTGAAATCAACTGTGACCTGGTTCATGGGTCGCCGCTCAGCCACTGAGCCAGACTGGCTGGGCATTCTCTTGGCATATGTTAAAGGTCACACTGCCAATTGTACTTTAAAGACTTCACACTACTTGTAATCCAGATTAAAAGCAATTTAATATCACTACTAGAATTTGAAGATTGGTGTTTTAATCTCATGCAGTATCACCAAAAGAAAAACACTAACTGACATTGCCTGTGCTTACCTTTGGTTTAAAATGTCACCTGTTGAGCAAGCCTTTGTGGAGTATTTTCACCTTATTTGGAGCCGTTATTTTTTCATTCCCGCGTTTTATAAATGTATTCGTGAGATCATTATATATTGTTTTGTGTTTGAATTATGTGTTTTGTACTTAAAGCATTTCCAATAAAGTGTATTTATAAGCATTTAATATTTGTCCTCCACAGAACAAAGTTAAAAAACAAATAGAAAGCCTGATTAAATGAATTTAAATGGATACATGTTTGGCCCATAAAGTATAATTCTGCTAAATATTTTTAAACACTTCTTTATTCATTAAAAGCTTTGCAAGTGCTTGTATGACTTCCTTCCTTCCAGCCACTCATTTGCTATGATCAGTTTGTATTTCAATAGAAGGCAGAGGGCTTTAACCAGTAACTAAGTCTGTGCAGCACCGTAAAGCTAGATTCCATCACTAGTTTTGAAAAGACCATCTTCTTGTGTTCCTTAATGACCCAGTAGGGAGCTCACTGTGATTTCTGCCAGTTGTGTCATGAAATGACAAAGTGCAGTGTTACTTTATCTATCGTGACCGGAGTGGTCTCGGTCATTCAGACATTCCTGCAGCGGGTGGACGTGGCTTTGAGGAAGGATGCGGAGCCAGGAGCACAGCTGTGCTTCTACAGACACCATCGTGAGGACCCGACTCCAGCTCCCACTGCCAGTCACCACAGGGCACCCGGGGCCACCAGGGTGAGATGCCAACCTGAGGGGGAGATGGCAGCCGCACAGGGAAGTTGGCAGGGTCCAGGGTCCGCAGAGGCCACAGTCTGATGCCCACTTGTAGTGAGCGGCAGGCAGCTGGACGGGTTGTGTAGTCACGATCAAGCGGCCAGATGCATGTCCAGGACGTCCTTGGGACACTAATCCTCTTAAAGCCCCCCTGACAAGACCCTTATTTATCTCCTAAGGATAGATCCTCTCAGTACTGCATTTTGACAGACTTCGCTGAGGCTAGAGGGAAAGATTTACATTTCACAGCTGTGAACGCTTTCCACACATTTTAATAGTTATTAATGAAGATTCAATAGGACAAGTTTAAATGTTCGTCATGTTTCACATAATTGTTTTTAAATAGATAATAAACTTGGCATTGCCCTGGCCAGTGCTCAATGGTTCAATTCCTGGTCAAGGGCATGTATCTGGGTTGTAGGTTCGTTCTCTGGGCCCAGTTGGGGTGGGTGCTGGGGGCAACCATTTGATGTGTCCCTCTCACCTTGATGTTTCTACCTCTACCTCTACCTCTCTCCCTCCCCTCTCCCTTCCACCCTCTCTCTCAAAAAAAAGGGAAAATATCCTCAGATGAGGAAAACACACCTGGTGCTGAATTTAGAACACAGAAAGGGATAAATGTAAAAGTTCACTGGAGGCTGGTGTGGTGTGGAGAGGGTCAGTGGGGAGAGAGGGGGACATCTCTAATAATTTCAACAATAAAAAACCACAAAACAAAAAATCTGATCCTTTTACTGTTGTGTCACCCAATTTTCCACTGTTACCAGTTTATCATGATTCTTCCGATGATCCCATACATTTATGGATATTGATATGTGTGGTTTTATTTTAAAAATATATTTATTGGATTTCAGAGAGGAAGGAAGAGGGGGAGAGATATAGAAACATCAATGATGATAGGGAATCACTGATCAACTGCTTCCTGCATGCTCCTACTGTGCTCTATCCACTGAGCCAAACTGGTTTCGGCCTTGTTAGCTTTTTTATAGCAGGAGCACAGCGTGCCGGAAATGAATTTCTTCTTAATGTTTTTAAAATATGTCTTCATTCTCAGTGAACAGACTAAAAGGAATCTGAAATCTTAACAACTTCTATTAGTGAAATTTTTCCCATTTAAAATATACTGGAATTAAAATGTTTTGTGGACCAATTCAGTCAGTCTCTTTTCTTCGGTCAGTGGTGCTAAGTGTTGAAAACGGAAGATTTAATCAGATTCTTGCTCTCAGTAGCAGTAAAGTAAAATGGTACTTTATTCTTCAGCACTTTCTACATCCAAGTGTTTAAAATATTTCATTTAAAGTGGTTATTATTTCCATAAGCCAAATGCTGGATATATGTTAACACATGAGGGGTGGGGGGGTATGCTGTTTTCTAACAATCAAATATTAACATTTATGCTTTGGTGCTTGACTTAATTAAAATATTTATTATACAAATATGTTTTTATTGATTCAGAGAAAGAGAGGAAAGGAGAGGGAGAGTGAGAAACATCATCAATTAGTTGCCTCCCGCACACCCCCTGCTGGGGAGAGAGTCTGCGACCCAGGCCTGTGTCCTGACTGGGAATCGAACCAGCGACCTCCTGGTGCATGGGTCAATACTCAGCCGCTGAGCCACACTGGCCAGGCTGGGTCTCTTTTTATTTAAAACTTGTTCCTTCCTATTATACAGCTATATTCAGTATAGAAAGCATAGAAAATACACTGGAAATAAATACACTGAAAATAAATTAAAAATGGACCACAGTCTCCTTCTTTATTATCTTATGCATATATCTTTAAAATAATCTCAATTAGATGACTAGAAAATAAGTTTAGATTATATTTTATTAGTGCCTTACAGAAGCACTTCTAGGTAGTTCTGATTTAATGTTGTGATTGTGCTTTTGTGGGTAGGTTTAACAAAAGGTCCCCTGAAAACTCCATCTGCTATCGGGAGTAGACATTGTAATATTGTACTATTACACCATTTCTAAGTATTTTAGTAAATTTCTCCAGAATTTAGGGCTAGGCAATTATTTCATGTGCATTTTCGTAGTCCCCTGTGTAAGCCAATGAGAATTATAAGTGTTCTCTCTTTCCCCTCCTCTGTCTCTCCTTCCCTCTTTTTTCCCCACTGTAGTTTTCATAAAGGTCAAAGCTTATGCCATTTGTATTCTTTAAAAAATATATATATATCTTATTGATTTTTTTTTTTTTTTTTACAGTGTAAAATTTTTATATTTAGAATTAGGCAGCTGGACTCAGTTTAGAGATTCCAATTTTGTTGGCAACATCCAAAGCATCATAGTCAGGAGCCAGTGGAACGTATGCCTTCTTCTCGCCATCAGGCCTGATCAGGGTGTTGACCTTGGCCACATCAATGTCATAGAGCTTCTTCACAGCCTGTTTGATTGGTGCTTGTTGGCCTTGACATCCACAGTGAACACAGTGTATTATTGTCTTCTATCTTCTTCGTGGCTGACTCGGTGGCCAGGGGAACGTGATGATGGCATAGTGGTCAAGCTTGTTTCTCCCGGGTGCGCTCTTCCGAGGATACTTGGGCTGCCCCGGAGCCTTAGTGTCTTTGGCCGTCGGAAGGGGGGGACGTGCGGTTCTCCTCCTCCTCCTCCTCCTCCTCCTCCTCCTCCTCCTCCTCCTCCTTCTTCTCCTTCTCCTCCTCCTCCTCCTCCTCCCCCTCCTCCTCCTCCTCTTCCTCCTCCTCCTCCTCCTCCTCCTCCTCCTCCTCCTCCTCCTTGTGGCTGTGGACGCCTTTCAACAATGCTTCCTTTGCCTTCAAAGCCTTTGCTTTGGCTTCGGCTTTGGGAGGGGCAGGGGCTTCCTTCTTCGCTTTCGGCGCCATCTTCGTGAAAAGGATTTATGAGCCGATTTTTTTTTTTTTTTATAGAGAGGAAAAGAATGGGTGTTTCAGTTATAGGAAAAAAAAGATGTCATTTTGTATTTGAAATGTTGTCATTGTCTAATATAAAATGGAATTTTAAGCCGAGACCGGTTTGGCTCAATGGATAGAGCGTCGGCTTGGGGACTGAAAGGTCCCGGGTTCGATTCCGGTCAAGGGCATGTACCTTGGTTGCGGGCGCGTCCCCGGTGGGGGGTGTGCAGGAGGCAGCTGGTCGATGACTCTCTCTCATCGATGTTTCTGGCTCTCTATCTCTCTCCCTTCCTCTCTGTACAAAATCAATAAAAAATATATATTAAAAAAAAAAATAAAAAAAAAAATAAAATGGAATTTTAAAATTAGATTAGCATCCTAACCGGTTTGGCTCAGTGGATAGAGCATCAGCCTGCGGACTGAAAGGTCCCAGGTTCGATTCCAGTCATGTATCTTGGTTGCAGGCACATCCCCAGAGGGAGGTGTGCAGGAGGCAGCTGGTCAATGTTCCTCTCTCATCAATGTTTCTAGCTCTCTATCCCTCTCCGTTTCTCTCTGTAAAAAAGAAAATCAATAAAATATATTAAAAAAAATAAAATTAGATTAGCAATAAAACAAAACCTTAATTATACAAATTCAATTTATGTACTGAAAACACACACACACACACACACAGTACAAAATTCAAGGCACAAAACCAGAATAGACCAGAATGTATTAGAATATCGATTTTATTTAAATAATTATCTTTACTTTTCCTTCTGTCGGTGACGATGGCTGAACAGAATTCACCACAGTTACTTTAGAATCGCCAAAAGCATTGCGGGCAGAGGCCTGACTCGGGGGTGGCTGCTGCTGCTTACTTTCCCAGGTCTCCTCGGACCCTTCGTTAGCAGTGCTCTCCTGGTCGTTTTTAAAGACACAGCCTGATCCAAAGAGCTCCTCCATCAGATGGCTCTTCTTTTCTCTGAAGGTTGCGTCTCTCGCCTTTGCTCTGGGGGGATTCCCGAAGGAGGGCTCGTACCCGCACCCAGCGGGCCTGGGCTTCAGCTCTTTGGCGCCGCGCCGTCTGCCTGTGCTGTGGCTGCACCTCCAGACGCCTGGCCTGGCCGGCCCACCCGAGGCAGGAAGCCCGTGATGCAGATTTTCCGTGGCTTCCGTGAACAGATAATGCTTTCTCTGCCGGAGGTGTGCCTTGGCGTTCTGGGCGTTCTTACTCGGTGCCTCGTCCCGGGCGCCTTTCGGGGCGCCTTTTTTCAGCTCCTCTTTTGCATCGTTTTCCTGCTGGCTTCCCCGCTCAGGGTGAGAGACCTGGATTCTTTTGGACGGCAGTTCTTGTTCTTTTTCTAACGTGGTTCTCTTCTCCTGATCGGCTTGTCTCTCCCTCTGTCTTCCAGGGTTCTCCAGAGCTGCTGGTACGCTCGGGTGTTCCTCTTCCTTTGATAAATCTGTAGCAGAAAAAGAGTCAATTTGGCGATCTTTAAACTAATGGCTTTTATTTCAAGATGGCATGCGTGTTAGCCACACTTACACCTCCTGACAGGACATTAAAAACGACAAAAAAGGCAAGGCGATGAGAGCATTAAGGGCTGGTGTCACCAAGACCCCTGCTCCTCTGTCCCTCTGGCAGCCATGCCAGGTCCTGTCCCTGTGCTGCCCCGGGGCGGCCGAGGCCTCCCACCTCCCCCACAGCCTGCTCTGCTCTGGCCTCCAGGTGCAGGGAGCTCTGGCTCTCAGACCGGGAGACTAATGGAGCGGCCTGTCCCACCCGGGCCTCTCCAGCCCGCGGAGCAGCCCTCGGAGGCCGTGTGCCGGGCGCTCTGTGCCCAGGCGGGGCAGCACCTCGGCCTGACGGGCCCTTGTACATCCGGGGCCAGGAGCCAGAGTCTGCCCCGCTGACCCTCCCTGGAAGTCTTCGGGTGGTCTCATTTCTCAGCTGGTTTGTCTGCCACTCGGCTTGTCAGGAGTGAACACAATGCTTAAGGACACACAGACAGGACAGGGGATAGGGAGGCAAAGCAAGGAATGAGTGCGGTGTCAGAGGGCAGGCTGTGTTTCTGGCGGGCGGGAAGGGCCCCAGTGTGTTCTGGGACCAACGTTCCATCTGTTAGGGCCAGTGGCTACACAGGGTTAAATTCTATAATCATTCCTTGAACAGTATATCTGTCTTATGTATATTTTATACCCGGACATACAGAATTCACAGCTTACACATACAAAAAGAATAAATATGACTTAAAAGTTGCTAAATCACCTTCATATTTTCTCTTGGACTCCTCTTGGCTTGCTAGTTTACTGCCACTGTGAGGGATCACATGGACTAGGCCAGTGGCTTTTTCTTTATGACCCGTGTTTCCTGTTGTCTTTTTACCCTAGAATTCAGAAAAGCGGCAAAGGCTCATCTTTTGGGTCCAGATAATTCAAGGAATACAAACACTTTTTTGTATAGGCCAAAGGACTGTAGCCTATTTCGCAAAGAAATGTTTAACTAGATGTTGCAAGATTTCAGATCGGCTGTACCTTAGTCGTCAAAGACGGCACATCTTCCGATTTCTGGGTGCCCTGTTGTCTTGTCCTGGTAAATGGAACACTTTTCCTGTCTGTCTGCACGGATTTTGTTGAAGAAACTGCAGAACAAGTACATGGCATAGGAGAAACATGTCTCATATTTGGAAGCAAGACTGACTGCAAGTACAAAGTGACACTGCAGCATAATGAAGCAAAGGACCCCAGATGCTTTCCAAAACCTCTCCATCTGTGTGTGACATTTGCCACCGTCATCTTCCTCCCACCATTTCACTTTTGTCTTATTATGGGTGTCCCAGCGGCCGCGTCCAAAGCAAGCTGGCATGAGGATGGGTTTGCCTGGCTGTTTGAGGACAAGCCTGTCCCTGCCTGCAGCCCAGACTCAGACTTGGACATGCAGCCGTGAGAGCAAGCACTGCCCCCGAGCCCCCATGCCGGAGCCCCTGCCTCTGACCGAGGGTTAGGCCGCCCGGCGAAGGGGCTGACCACTCTCTCTCCCATTTAAAGGCCCCGTGGGTGGTTTTGTCATTTTCTCTGCTGGCTGTTATTCTGGATTGAAAACCAGAGGCAAACAAAGGAACGCAAGGAAACGTGAGGTGGTGGCCTTTAAAAGAGCTGGCTGTTGTGGCTCAGTGGTTGAGCGTCAATCTATGAGCCAGGAGGTCACAGTTCGATTCCCAGGTAGGACACAGGCCTAGGTTGTGGGCTTGATCCCCAGTGTGTGGTGTGCAGGAGGCAGCCGATCAATGATTCTCTCTCATCATTGATGTTTCTCTCTCTTCCTTCCTCTCTCTGAAGTCAATAAAAACACATTAAAAACAGGTGAGTGCGAAGTTACTTCTACTGAAACAGGCTGAGGGACCCTAGTGTTAGGCTGGGGGCTCTTTGGGGTGGGAAGCAGCGCATCTTGTCTTGAGGAGAAAGTGCTGCTCAGGAGTAGAAGGGACAATGACAGCAGCAGCAACACGGATGGATCTCAGAAACATGATGCTGGACAGAGCAGCCGGACAAGAGAGCAGCCGCTGAGGATCCCAGTCACTGGAGCTCTGGAACAGGCACACCCCCTGCTGGGACAGAAGGGATCCAGCGGACGCCTCGGGACAGGGATGGAGGACTACTGGGCGCAAAGTGGGCACCGGGGAACTTCCCCAGGAGAGGGAAAAGCTCCATGCTTTGACGGTGGTGGTAGTTACACGGGGTTAAACATGCATTTGTCAAAACCTATTGAACTGCACTCCTAAAATGGGGGCATTTTAGTGAGGTAAGCTGTAATTCAATAAAGTTGATTTTTATTTATTTTTAAAAATTTATTCTTTAACTGATTTTCAATTGATTTTTAGAGAGAGAAAGGAAGAGGGAAAGAAGAGAGAAACGTCAATGTGATAGCAGAACTTCTATCAGCTGCCTCCTGCACACCTGTACCAGGGATTGAGCCTGGGACCCCGGCCTGTGTCCTGATCGGGAATCGAACCAGTTCTGGACGATGCCCAACCAACTGAGCCGCACTGGCCAGGGCTAAAGTTGATTCTTATTTATTTTATTTTTTTATTTTATTATTATTTTTTTTAATAAGTTTTTATTGTTCATATTATTACAAATGTTCCTTTTTCCCCCCACCCCCACCATTGCTCTCCTCCACCAGGTTCCCACCCCACCCTCTGCCCTTTCCCCTCTCCCCATTGTCCTCATCCATAGGTGCACAGTTTATGTTCAGTCTCTTCCCACGCCCCCCTCTCCCCTTTTCCCCAAGAATCGTCAGTTCACTCCCCTTCCATACCTCTGATTCTATTATATTCAACAGTTAATATTGTTCATCAGATTTTTTTTTAATTTCCTTGGTTTTTAGATTCACTTGTTGATAGTTACGTATTTGTTGTTCATAATTTTTATCTTTGTTTACCTTCTCTTCTGAAAGAACCCCCTTCAGCAATTCATATAATTCTGGTTTGGCAGTGATGAACTCCATTAGCTTTTTTTTATTAGTGAAGCTCTTTATCTGACCTTCGATTCTGAGTGATAGCTTTGCTGGGTAGATTATTTTTGGCTGTAGGTTCTCGCTATTCATCACCTTGAATATTTCTTGCCATTCCCTTCTGGCCTGCATGGTTTCTGTTGAGAAGTCAGCTGACAATCGTATAGGTGCTCCTTTATAGGTTACTACCTTCTTTGCTCTTGCTTCTTTTAATATTCTCTCTTTGTCTTTTGCTCTTGGAATTTTAATAATGATGTGTCTCGGTGTGGTCCTCTTTGGATTCCTTTTGTTTGGAGTTCTGTGTGCTTCCTGGACTTGTAAGTCTAATTCTTTCACCAGATGGGGGAAGTTTTCTATCACTATTTCTTTCAGTATGTTTTCGATATCTTGCTCTCTCTCATCTTCTGGGACCCCCATAATTCTGATGTTGGTTCGCTTGAAGTTGTCCCAGAGGTTTCTTACATTATCTTCAATTTTCTGGATTCTCTTGCCTTCTAGCTTCTGTGGAGGAGTGTCTTCTGGCTCTTTATGTTCCAAATCTTTGACTTGATTCTTGCGATCTTCCCTTCTGTTTTTAGGACTCTGTAAAATATTTTTTATTTCAGACAATGTATTCTTTATTTCTTGTTGATCCCTTATCATTTCTTGTTGACTCCTTATTAATTCTAGTTGATCTCTTTTCATATCCTCATAGGCCTTATCCATCTTTTCTAGGAAATTCTTGAAAAACCTTGTAAGCGTAGATTTGAACTCTATATCCAGACGCTTTTTGTCTTCCATTTCTTTCGTTTGTGATCTATTTTGTTGTCGCATTTCGCAGTTACAGATGGGGCGGGATTTCAGGGTGGAGCCTACAGCCTTGGCTTCTGTCAGCCCCGCCCTATGCGGGTCCTTCAGTGCTCGCTGCCGGCGCCTCTGAGAGAAAGGTGCCCTCGATTTTCGCCTGCTGCCAAACAGTCTATGCTCTCCCACAATGAGCCCGGTATTGGGGTTCAGTTCAGTTGGAAGTGGAGTTGGAGGTGGCGTTCAGAGCAGTCTGGAGCCCCAGTCTCCTTCCCGTCAGGGCAATCCCGCGGCACAGCCGACCGACCGTCCCTTCTCTGCGCGCAGTGTGCGCGCCGCCGCCGGGACCTCCTTTCACTGCTCCCCGGGGTTCTGCCTTACAGCCCGGCTCCCTATGGCTGAGCCTGAGTCCCCGGGGTCTGGCTTAAAACTGGGGATCAGAGCAGTCGGGGGCCCAGCACAGTCGGAGTTTTATCTCCTTTCCGCTAGGGAACGCCTGCCAGGCACTCGGCCTCCCTCCTCTCCGGCTCTGTCCTCTCTGCGCGCCGCGTCTCCGCGTCTTCGTACCTTGGCTTTTCCAGCTCCTCCGCGCCTCCTTCTGGTTTTCTCCTTGCTTCTCGCTGTAGAATTTCCAGTCAGTCAACCTTCCTGTAGTTCTGGGCAATATCCGTTTTATATTTTAGTTGTATTTTATTGAAATTGTTGTGTGCGGCTGCGGCTAGGTGTTCACCTGGGCGCAGCCATCTTGGATCCCCGATTCTTATTTATTTTAAAAAATATTTTTATTGATTTCAGAGAGGAAGGAAGAAGGAGAGAGAGAGAGAGGGAGAGAAACATCAATGATGAGAGAGAATCATTGATTGGCTGCCTCCTGCATGACCCACACTGGGGATTGAGCCTGCAACCCTGGCAAGTGCCCTGACTGGGAATCGAACTGTGGTTCATAGGCTGATGCTCAGCCACTGAGCATACCCGCCAGGCTAACGCCGAGTTTTACATCCACACTCTGGCTAGTAGATATTCTTAGCAAGTTTAACATCTGGCAGCCACTTTGCTTCAAGATGAGAAGTCCTCCTTTCACTGGACCTGAAGTAACAAGCAGGACTGAGCAGAGGGCTGGGAGACGGGAACGGATTTCTGTTCTTCTCTAGTTGTTGCAGCCATAGCACAGTTTTATTGTTCTCCTAGTCACAAGATGTGCTTCAATGCCTAATAAAATGATTTTTTAAACATCCATTATTTTGGTGGTATAAGGTAGGAAAATCTGACTAGATACTTAAGAATAGATTTTGAGCCAAAACCGCTTTGGCTCAGTGGATGGAGCGTCGGTCTGCAGACTGAAGGGTCCCAGGTTCGACTGCGGTCAAGGGCATGTACATTGGTTGCGGGCACATCCCTGGTAGGGGGTGTGCAGGAGGCAGCTGATCGATGTTTCTCTTTCATCGATGTTTCTAGCTCTCTATCCCTCTCCCTTCCTCTCTGTAAAAAATCAATAAAATATATATATATTTTTAAAAAAGAATAGATTTAGAGGAAAAATAGATAAAACATACCTATTGGATACTCTTCTTTGTCATGTAAATTTTTCATTATCCGATTAGTATAGATGTTTTTTATGTCAAGCTCTCGATCTTTCTCCTAAAAAGAACCACAAAACCAATTTTTCTATAAGTATTTTTATCAACTTTGATTTCTTCTAAAAAACCATTTGAGTTCAATATTTTATTTCTTTTAGAGCATATCTTTTTTTACTTTTTATTATATTTATTTTTATTGATTTTAGAGAGGAAAGGAGAGAGAGAAACATCAATGTAAGAGAGAGACATCAATCTGTTGCCTCCATAGGTGCCCCAAAAGGGATCAAACCTCAACTGAGGTATGTGCCCTGACTGGGAATTGAACCAGTGACCTACTGGTGCGTGGGACAGTGCTCCAACCAACTGAGCCACACTGGCCAGGGCAAGTTCAGAATTCTTTGAATGAAGTCTGTATTTCTAGCAGAAAGAGAAATAAGCCATAACATTACATATCATTCCTGACATAAAAAAAAAAAAAAAACACCTCTTTGTAACAGTGACATATTATTGTGATGGACAATGTTTTTGAAAAATTTCTGAGCTAGCTTCTTTCACTTTTTTCCATTTTCCATGTTTCTTATTCTTTTGCATGGGGCAATATAGTGGCCCCCAGCCATGTCCTGACTTAAACTAATTAAAAAACATAAAAAAGAATGAAATCTTACCATTTGTGTCACATGGATGGACCTAGAGGGTATTATGCTAAGTGAATAAGTCAGTCAGAGGCAAATACCATATGATTTCACTTATATGTGAAATTGAAAGAAAATAAACAAACAAAATAGAAACAGACTCAAATAACACAGAGGGGAGGGGGATAGGAGGACGGGGTGAAAGGACTGAGAAATACAGTTCAGTAGTTACAAAACAGTCATGGGGGCTTACGGTACAACAGAAAATATAGTCAGTAACTATGTATTGTGGGTATTAGAAATATTGGGGACGGGGAGACGACACTTTGTAACGTATGCAGGGGGCTAACCACTATGTTGCACACCTGAATCCAATACAAAATAATATTGAAAGTAAACTGTAAGTGAAAAATAAAAATAAGGCAATTAAACGAAACTAAAATAAAAAATTCAGTCCTCAGGCACACTAGCCACATTGAGCACACGGGGCTGCTGACCACGGTCCTGGGCAATGCAGACAGAACATTCCGTCATCTGAGAGCGTGCTGCTACCCAGAACGTGCAGCAGGGGGAAGGCTGGAACAGGGACATCACTGATTAGCTTTATCCCAATATTCTTTTAAAAGTCTCAACAAAATAAAAGGTTTGAAATACTGGCTTGTAGAGGGGAAAAAATATTCACTTGAATACTGAACTCTGCTTCGTACACCAAGAGGCACGCCCGTCAGCATCAGGACCACTGCGGTGGGCTGTGAATTAAGGATGTCTCCCACGTCTGAGCAGGGAGGAAAGCCCAGAAGGAAAGGGCCCAGGGATGGGGAGTGAAGAGGGACAAAAAAGGTCTTGATGTTTAGAGGGGCAAGTGTTGATGATCTGGAAAATTCAGTTACATCTCTTTAGTTGAGGGTCAGCATGCATGTCAGCAGCAGAGGGCAGGAAGAGGCAGGCCAAGAGCTGCTGGCTGACAGGTGCAGGATGGCTGGGTCAAAGGAAGGAACACGAGGACAGTCCCCTTCACGCTGGGGACGAAGGTTTCAGTCGGTCCCCACCCCAGAGCGGGCCCAGAATGGAAGACGACAGGCCAGAACCCAACCCAGGACACCGGGTGGGTGTGTCAATGGGTTAATCAAGGGAAACCATAAGAAAGAAAGTCAAATCCGTATCTCGGAACGCCCATGGAATGCCTGTGGACTATCCAGAGGAAAGAGGACCCTGACAGCCTGGGAAGCAGAGCCTGCCTTCGGCTGTAAAAGAAGTACCTTCAGTTTCTGCTGGAGGAGCTTGACTTCCGCCTGCAGCGTCTCCTTGGCGGTCTGGGCGGCCAGCGTCTTCTGGTTCTCGATGGCCAGCTGCCGGCTGAAGGCCTTGTTGTTCAGGCGCAGCTGCTTCTCCAAGTTCTGGGAACAGGGCAGTTTCAATGCTTGTAACCAGGGCGGTTTTAGCAAAGCGTCGACTTTTTTTTTTTTTTTTTAAATAATATATTTTATTAATGTTTTACAGAGAGGAAGGGAGAGGGAGAGAGAGCCAGAAACATCAATGAGAGAGAAACATCCATTAGATGCCTCCTGCACACACCCCCACCGGGGATGTGCCCGCAACCAAGATACATGCCTTTGACTGGAATCGAACCCGGGACCCTTCAGTCTTCAGGCCGATGCTCCATCCCCTAAGCCAAACCGGTTTTGGCAAAACCTCGGCTTTAGTGGCACTCATTACGCTTATGAGAAGTGCAAATCTTAAATTCAATGTTAGTGATGGCCCTTACAGGGACATTTACTAGAATGAAGTAGAACCACATGACACAATCCCTGAGCACGACTCTGGAGAATAAACATCATGTTTGAGCTGAATGTTTTTTATATGCTGGAATTTGATAAACATTTTTTTTGAACAGATTCTGAAAATCCATAGATACACCATACCCGCCCCCCAACCCCACTCCACCTCACCCCACCCCACTCCACACACCATCTTTTCAGCACGTAAACAAGAGAACCATCCTTTTCAGAGGGGGAGCCTCTGCTCGCTGTGACAGAGCCACGCGCAGGCCTGGGCTGTGTCTGCCTCCCTGTGAGCCCCCTCCCCGGGCCCTGCCCCCGGGACACACCAGCAGGAAGGCTGCAGAGGGAGCACGCCCCGCACCCTTGGGTGTCCCTGCTGGACCCGAACCCACCCACGGACCTGGATCTGCTTGTCGTTGGCCTCCATCTTGGCGGTGAGCACGGCCAGCCGCTCGGTGAGCTCCTCCCGCTGGGCCAGGCTGCGGTCCTCCGAGAGGCTCTGCAGTGCCTGCAGCGCGTCCTTGGTCTTCAGCAGCTTGCTGTCCGTCTCCTTCAGCTTCCGGGACACGGCCCTCTCCTTCTCCTTGGACTTCTTCAGGAGCTGCCGTAAGCTTTTCACTTCATTCTGGTGCTTGGCCATGATCTGGGGGACATTATTCTGGGAAGTCTCATATCTGCCTATAGCTTTCAGGTGCCTAATCTCAAGCTGCTTCAGTAGCTGGTTCTCCAGGGCCGTGGCCTCCATCCTCCGATGAATGTCACTCAATTCGTTTTTCAACTCTTTGATCTTACGGAGCCGGGCCGAGAGCACGCGCTGAGTTATGGCATCTCTCCTCTGGGTAATCATGGTGATTTTGGAATTTAAAAGGGATGCATTCCACTTCTGCTTTTTTTCAACCGAGATTTCCTTCTGGCCTGTTAAGCAGATCATCCCGTTAGTTACTAGTTATGTATACAGATAGATAGGCAGGTATGCAAATATATATACCCCCCTCTCTTGCACATATGTACATATTCATGGGAGCTAGAAGGGGAAAGAACAAACATTGGATGAATATCCATGCTTCGGCTAGGCACTTTATATATAGCTATCCCATTTAATGCAGTTCTTCAAGGTCAGTAATAGTCTCTTTCACAGCTACACATTTTTAGTTGTTTGTCTGAGGTTACATAACCAAGAAGTGACACAGTGGATTGAAAGCCAGGTCATCTTTGACTCTGAAACCTGTACTTTATATCTTTTATAAAGCTAAACTAAAGCTCATGATCATAGGTAACATTTATTATGTGCTATCATATATCAGATATTGAACTAAATGTTTTATATAGATTATCGGAGGTAATCCTTCTAACAATATCTTATGGGGCAATTCGAATGTAACATTAAAGCCCAATGTAATATATGAGCATCTCATATATTTTAAAAAAACATTTAAAAACCATTATACTGCTTAGAGAATATATACAGATATTCAATTTTTCAATACATCCAACAAAGACCCTTTTTCTTCCATTACTTTGGCTGGGCACTAAATAAAGTAGTCAGGGGGCTTGTGTTCAGGAGTTTGTTTAAAATAAAATGTTTCTAAACAATGTTACAGCAAACTTATAAGCACCAAGCTTACATAATTGAATTCGAGAATATCAAACGTATGTGCAACATCACTTATTGTCATCCTATTTTATTTTTTAAAATAAATTTTTATTGTTCATATTATTACAAATGTTCCTCCCCCCCCCCTCCATTGCTCTCCTCCACCAGGTTCCCAGCCCACCCTCTGCCCTTTCCCCACCCCGCATTGTCCTCATCCATAGGTGCACAGTTTATGTTCAGTCTCTTCCCACATCCCCCCTCTCCCCTTTCCTCCAAGAATCGTCAGTTCACTCCCCTTCCATACCTCTAATTTTATTATATTCAACAATTAATATTGTTCATCAGATTTTTTTTTAAAATTTCCTTGGTTTTTAGATTCACTTGTTGATAGTTACGTGTTTGTTGTTCATAATTTTTATCTTTATTTACTTTCTCTTCTGAAAGAACCGCTTTCAGCAATTCATATAATTCTGGTTTGGTGGTGATGAACTCCTTCAGCTTTTTTTAATTAGTGAAGCTCTTTATCTGACCTTGGATTCTGAGTGATAGCTTTGCTGGGTAGAGTATTTTTGGCTGTAGGTTCTTACTATTCATCACCTTGAATATTTCTTGCCATTCCCGTCTGGCCTGCATGATTTCTGTTGAGAAATCAGCTGACAATCGTATAGGTGCTCGTTTATAGGTAACTACCTTCTTTGCTCTTGCTGCTTTTAATATTCTCTCTTTGTCTTTTGCTCTTGGAATTTTAATTATGATGTGTCTTGGTGTGGTCCTCTTTGGATTCCTTTTGTTTGGAGTTCTGTGTGCTTCCTGGACTTGTAAGTCTAATTCTTTCCCCAGGTGGGGGAAGTTTTCTGTCACTATTTCTTTAAGTATGTTTTCGGTATCTTGCTCTCTCATCTTCTGGGACCCCCATAATTCTGATGTTGGTTCGCTTGAACTTGTCCCAGAGGTTTCTTACATTATCTTCAATTTTCTGGATTCTCTTGCCTTCTAGCTTCTGTGGAGGAGTGTCTTCTGGCTCTGTATGTTCCAAATCTTTGACTTGATTATTGCGATTTTCCATTCTGTTTTTAGGACTCTGTATAATATTTTTTATTTCAGACAATATATTCTTTATTTCTTGTTGTTCCCTTATCATTTCTTGTTGATCCCTTATCATTTCTTGTTGATTCCTTATTAATTCTAGTTGATCTCTTTTCATATCTTCATAGGTCTTATTGATCTTTTCTAGGAAATTTTCGAAAAACCTTATAAGCATAAATTTGAACTCTATATCCAGTCGCTTTTTGTTCTCCATTTCTTTCATTTGTGATCTATTTCGTTGTCGCATTTCACAGCTACAGATGGGGCGGGGTTTCAGGGTGGAGCCTGCAGCTTTGGCTTCCGTCAGCCCTGCCCTATGTGGCTCTTGGGTCTCAGGGTCCTTCAGTACTGGCTGCAAGCGCCTCTGAGAGAAAGGTGCCCTCGATTTTCGCCTGCTGCCAAACAGTCTAGGCTCTCCCCCAATGAGCCTGGTATTGGGGTTCTGTTCAGTTGGAAGTGGAGTTGGAGGTTGCGTTCAGAGCAGTCTGGAGCCCCAGTCTCCTTCCCACCAGGGCAGTCCCACGGCACAGCCGGCCGTCCCTTCTCTGTGCGCAATTTGTGAGCCGCCGCCGGGACCTCCTTTCACCGCTCCCCCGGGTTCCACCTTACAGCCCGGCTCCCTCTGGATGAGCCTGGGTCCCTGGGGTCTGGCCTAGAACTTGGGTTCAGAGCAGTCGGAACTGGGGCCCAGCACAGTCGGAGTTTTATCTCCTTCCCGCTTGGGAACGCCCACCAGGCACGCAGCCGCCCTCCTCTCTGGCTCCGTCCTCTCTGCGCGCGCTGCCAGTCTCCGTACCTTTGGCTTTTACAGCTCCTCCGCGCTTCCTTCTGGTTTTCTCCTTGCTTCTCGTGGTAGAATTTCCAGTCAGTCGACTTTCCTGTAGTTCTGGGTAATGTCCATTTTATATTTTAGTTGTATTTTATTGAAACTGTTGTGCGTGGCTGCGGCTCGGTGTTTACCTGGGCAGCCATCTTCTATTGTCATCCTATTTTAAAGATGAACAAACTGATGCTGAGCCATGTCACTTGTCAATGGGCACAAGTAAGTGGTGAGACAGAATCCAGGTTTGTGTGCCTACACCACTGCCTCATATCTATATTCTTTTGTAATATATATATATGTGTGTGTGTGTATGTGTGCATATATGCATGTAAACAAATGTGTGTGCATGTGAACATATTAGTATATCTATATTGAGAGAGACTGAGTCTGGATTCAAGAATGTAAAATATCTGGTCCTCATCCTGGAGAGAGAGGGAATGTCATGGCCAAGGTCACTGGTGTCCTAACCTTAGACCTCCGGCCAAGTGTGGACACATCCTCTGAGACATGGCTTCGCATGTTTGGTATGGGAAAGGTGACTCTGTCTGCAATGGAAACAATGAGCCAAGAGAAACAGCCGGTGCTTTCTGGGGACACAACGTTGGAATGTTGGCTGTGAAAGACCACGTGGATTTGACCACCATTAGTGCCTGTACACATCAATAACTTGTGAACTGTCTTTACGACTGTGCCTCCAATGGCATTCATTTTCCCACTGGCGGCAGTTGAGTAGGGCTGTGGCTGAATATTGAGTATTTTGGAATCAGCTTTTAAGAACATTAAAAACGGGAAAGCACAGCAGATCAGACTCTGACACCTATGGGAAGGGCAGTGAGCAGGTGCTTGTGGTTGTGTTGAGGGCACTTGAATAGCCTGGCCACTGGCCAGGGGAACCCTAAACGCAGGCCATGTGATCAGGCTGGACTAAAACAGCAGGGGAGGTGGCGGTGTCACGTTCTTTGCCATGCCCACCATGACTGAACTTGACCTCCACCTTGTACATACTGTCTTCCAGCTCTTGGGTGACATGACCCTGACCAGGAGAGGGAGTCTCCAGAGACTAGAAGGGTGAGGGGTGGTGGGTCACATGGGCAGTGAGGCTTGTGTCCCTGTCTCACATGTATTCAAGTGGCTGGAGGGTGGGTAGTCAGAATGATTGGGCGCCTGGGGATTAGCACCACAGCTCTGGCCAAGGCCAGAGGTGGGGATGTATACAGAGGGCATGGGTGCTGTGAAAAGAGGAGGTGTCAGCCTTTAAGATCACATGGGCCTGACTGATGTGACTCAGTGGTTGAGTGTCGACCTATGAACCAGGAGGTCTTGGATTGGTTCCTGGTCAGGGCACATTCCTGGGGTTGGGGAGTTGATTCCCAGAAGGGGGTGTGCAGGAGGCAGCCAATCAATAATCCTCTCTCATCATTGATGTTTCTATCTTTCCCTCTCCCTTCCTCTCTGAAATCAAGAAAAAAAAAATCACATGGGCTTGGACAAGAACACATAAGTGATAAAAACAAAGGATCAGAGGCTCTTCTGGAAATCTTCTTGTCTGTGAAAGATCGTCCATATGCCCTTCACTCCACAAACACACCTGAGATTACATTTCTCACCTACCCTACTGGGCAGGTCCCAGAGAATAAGCCAGTTTGCTTCAGAAAGGTAAATACAGTATATGTCTTGCCATTTGAATGGTAGAAAACAAATCCATAGTCTACACAACATGCATACTTATCAATATATATAAAAGCCTACATGACCATTATGACTGGTTGACCGATGGCTATGATGCACCCTGACCACCATTGGCAGATGCTCAATGCAGGAGCTGCCCCCTGGTGGTCAGTGCACTCCCACAGTCAACCTCCCATAGGCAGCCAACCTCCTGAGGCCCCTCCCTCCAGCTGGCTGGCTCCGATGGCCCCAATTGCTGGTCAGACCAAGGGACCCCACCTGTGCACAAATTTGTACACCTGGCTGCTAGTATAACTATAAAGCCTGTAGAAAATTTAAATAGGGTTTAATCCTTAATGCTTTTGTACCTCATTATCCTAACCCACACTAATAAGGGTAAAACTCACAATTTCTATCCCACTTCACACAATTAAGGAAGATTTAGCTTAATGATTAAATTATTCTTGGGACACTTAATTTTTAAACCACTGGGCTAAAACACTCAAATTAAGTTAGTTCATAAAAAGCATGCACATTGAAGTCCATAGTTAACCAAAAAGACGCTCATCACATAAGGCAGTGTGCTCTTCTGAACACTTCAAGAACGTGCCCGCACTCACGCTTCTCTGCGCCAGACTCTTCCTTCCACGTCAGCCCACCCTCCTGTCTAGGAGCCATTGTCCTCCCTGCCCCCTTCCGTCCCCTCGGCCTCTTCTGGTCTCTTCCTCTTCGTTTCAGTGTCTTGTTCTATCGTCAAGGCCTTCCATGCCCTCAGTCTGGTTCTGCTCCTTATCCTGAGCCATGTTCCCATCACTCCTCAGGTGGGAACATGGCTGCCCTCCACCGGGTTCTCTCTCTCTTCCAGGTAACACTGTATTTACCCACTTCCGCCAAGGACCAGGGTAAGAGGAGGGTCAAAGGAAGGGCCCTTTCCCCTTCTGTTCTCCACAGTTCCCGCTGTCAGTCTGCTGGCGAGGGTCTCCAGCACTACCTCCATCTCCCACCTGCACCTGACTACAGACCACAGGGCCAAAGGTCTGCTGGCGATCGCATACGTGAAATAACTTCCTTTTAGGCATACCCATTTTTTGGATGACTACCACATATTTTGGCACTGTATCAGCAAAACACATCCAAGAAGAATATACGGGTGGGGCAAAAGTAGGTTTATAGTCATGAGTGCATGAAACACAGTTTATTCTTGTGTTATTATTTATTAATTATTGTATTACTTTACATATGAACAATGATAAACCTACTTTGGCCCTACCCTGTATAATTGAAAGAGTGCTGAAAGTACATTTTTGACAAAAGATACAATTTTAAAAAATTAAATTGTTGATATATATTGCTTGCTATTATTATTATTTATTATTATTATTTTTTTAATATATTTTATTGATTTTTTACAGAGAGGAAGGGAGAAGGATAGAGAGCTAGAAACATCAATGAGAGAGAAACCTCGACCAGCTGCCTCTTGCACTCTCCCCCACTGGGGATGTGCCCGCAACCAATGTACATGCCCTTGACCGGAATCGAACCTGGGACCTTTCAGTCTGCAGACCAATGCTCTATCCACTGAGCCAAACCGGTTTCGGCTGCTTGCTATTATTTACATTGGTTTCTGTAAACCTCTTAAAACTTGATCAAAGCAAAAATCCTATCAAATGGAAGTCCTCATTTCATCCTTAAAATTTTTCTCTATGAAATATCTTTCTGCCATAAGCCTTGCTTTTCTGAGCTGGGACTTGATCATGATCTTTGATGTTAATAAAAAATTTATTAATTGATTTTGAGGGAGGGAGGGAGGGAGGGAGGGAGGGAGGGAGGAGAGAGAGAGAGAGAGAGAGAGAGAGAGAGAGAGAGAGAGAGAGAGAGAGAGAGAGACATTGATTTTGTTTTTCCACTATTTATATATTCATTGACTCTTGTATGTGCCATGACCGAGGACCAAACCTGCAACTGTGGCATATCAGGAGGATGCTCTAACCAACTGAGCTACCTGGCCACGATCCAAATCAGGTTTTTGTTGCTAGAGTAGTTGTGGTGCCAAACATGGGGAAAATGTGGGGTTATCAGAGCTTCCTAAGTTTCCAGGGCAGTTTAGGGTTGTGTAACCATGGAAGCTGAGTGCGATGGATGATAACCACTTCCAAAGGCCAGAGTCCCGCTGGGAGAGAGGTGCTGGCTTTCCGCCTTCTGCCTCAGCCTTCCCCCGGGGTCTGGGACTCCCGCCTTCTAGAAAAGGGGCTTCTAATCTTCTGAGAATCTGCTGCAAGCTGTGGTCTCTTCTCCCTAGAAGAGGTCACAAATGGAACTCTGCATGGAGGTTCCTGGGGTTCGCAGGCAAGGGTCTGAGGTCAGGAGCCCCTGCTCTCCAGATAGGAAGAGGGGGAGCTGGAGATTCTAGACGATGCAGACATGGCTCAGTGTCCTAGTCAGGCTGGGGGACAGCTACTGGGTAAATGTGACAGATGTGCCCACACGTTACTTCCCACCTGTTGACTCACGGCAGTTCCCATGGTCACGGTGGGGAAGTCCCGGCTCTTTCTCACACACACAGTATTTATCAGCCCAAGATTGCCTGAAGTGGGAGGGAGTGATTACAGTCTGGGCAGGAGGCAGGGAGTGAGGCAGTCAGGCCATCACCAGGCTAATTCCAGTTTGGACAGGTAGTGGTTGAAGGTGTTGGCACTTCTAAAATCCACAAGGAAATGACATAACTAACAGCCTTTTGCCATCTCTGTTTCACAAGGTTATCGCTGCCAATATGCCTCACCAGAGTTGGAGAACATCTTCTCGGGCTGTTGAGACAGGAATTGGTATTTCATTGGTGACTCAAACCATAGTTCTCCCGCTGAGATGCAAGGCAGGAGGCCACTGAAATCCAAGCACTGAGGTGCTCTGTGACAAGGCCACCTGTTGGCTAGAAAGGGAACCAGCCTCACTGTGGGCGCCAGCGGGTCAGCGGGCAGGGGGCTGGCGAGACACTTCCAACCAGCTCTTTGTTATCCCGTAATTACTCTTTTTTTTTTTTTTTCCTTTTGTCATCAAACATCTATTGAGGGCATGAACATTTTTGGCTAGTTTCTTTTTCTGAACACAAAAAGCAGATTTAAAAATACTAAGCCGTCTGTGAAAGTAGACTAAATTCCAAGTCTTCAAGTTCTGCATCAAGCGCAGCCCATCCTGCTCGTGGGAAAGGTAACCAGCAAAGCACAGCCCTTTGTAATTATTCTTAATTTCTCTACTTCCAAACTCCTTCCGTAAAACTTCGCTTGTAATACACGTTGACAATATGGAAAGGTAATAAAACGGAATGTGGCCATTTCAAATGTTAGTGCGTTAAATAATGATGTCACTGTAAGCAGGCAGCGGGTCTCGGTTGGGACATTTTGCTTACCTTTAGGTTGGAAGAGTTCAGAAACGTAGTCTTTCTTCTCCTTTTTTTCCTTTATCACAGGCTTCTCTAAATAGTGGCTGTTTTCATTAGTGGGTGTTTCTGAACAGTCAGAGAGAAAGTCTTCTGAGTAATCATAATAAGAAATTAGGCTGCAGGAGCACTGAGATCTGCTGTAGTCGATGCTCTTATCGGAGGCGTTGCCATCCCTGGGCAGGTCGGCCAGGCTGGGGCTGCCCCCGGGCTCCTTGGACAGCAGGCTGCCTCCCAGGGCCAGGGCGGGGAAGTGCTCATCGCCATGGGTGCCTGCTGCGCCAGCCAAAGACATAGCACACCTGATGGAAGAGAGGGGCTTTTAGATACATAGCCGTTGACATTAAAATGGACATGCGCATTATTACACTGAACTATCTCTCTATATAAAAGCCCAGCAACCAGAATGGCAGAACGACCAACGACTGGTGGCTATGATGTGCACTGCAGCAGCCAACCAGCCTGATCCAGGCCCCAATTGGTTTCCAACACCCCAATAGGGGGCGGGGCTGGCTGCTAACCACCCACGGCCCCTCCCCCCTGCCGGCCCAGCCTGATGGACCCCCATTGGAGTGGGCCAGCAGAACGTGGCCAGATTCATGCACAAATTCATGCACTGGGCCTCTAGTAATGGATAAGTAAGAATTCTGAAGTATCGCCGGGACCGGTTTGGCTCAATGGATAGAGCGTCGGCTTGGGGACTGAAGGGTCCCGGGTTCGATTCCGGTCAAGGGCATGTACCTTGGTTGCGGGCATATCCCCAGTAGGGGGTGTGCAAGAGGCAGCTGATCGATGACTCTCTCTCATCGATGTTTCTAACTCTCTATCTCTCTCCCTTCCTCTCTGTACAAAATCAATAAAATATATTTAAAAAAAAAAAGAATTCTGAAGTATCTTCTGGAATCATTTCAGTTTGGTTTTTATAGTTTTCTACATAAACTATAAGAACTCTGAGACCAGACTTTGGTGAAATCCTATTCACAGGAATGATAAGATAAAGTTCCTACCAGATAGAAGCAATGACAACAATTTACCAATCAGTGAAATGTATTCTTGTTCTCTAAGCCTGACTGCTTGTTGGGAATTTTTTTTTTTTGCTCAGAACTGAGGAAAGTGATCACATTTGCTCCATCTGGAAGGCTCATATGAAATGCAATGCTTATGAAACCCAGACATATTTATCTGGATGTGTACACTTTTCTTTACTAATGATCAATCACATACTTTTGAGATTAAAGATACAGATCAGAATTATTCTACTTGATTCATAATTATAAAGTTTTTATATATATATATATATATTTTTTTTTTAAAATAAATCTTTATTGTTCATATCATTACAAATGTTCCTCATTTCCCCCCCTCCATTATTCTCCTCCACCAGGTTCCCACCCCACCCTCTGCCCTTTCCCCACCTCCCATTGTCCTCATCCATAGGTGCACAGTTTATGTTCAGTCTCTTCCCACACCCCCACTTCCCTTTTCCCTGAGAATCGTCAGTTCACTCCTCTTCCATACCTCTGATTCTATTATATTCATCAGTTAAAATTGTTCATCAGATTTTTTAATTCCCTTGGTTTTTACATTCACTTGTTGATAGTTACACATTTGTTGTTCATAATTTTTATCTTTATTTTCTTCCTCTTCCTAAAGAACCCCCTTTAGCAATTCATATAATTCTGGTTTGGTGGTGATGAACTCCTTTAGCTTTTTTTTAAAAATTTTTTATTAGTAAAGCTCTTTATCTGGCCTTCGATTCTGAGTGGGTAGAGTATTTTTGGCTGTAGGTTCTTGCTATTCATCACCTTGAATATTTCTTGCCATTCCCGTCTGGCCTGCATGGTTTCTGTTGAGAAATCAGCTGACAATCATATGGGTGCTCCTTTATAGGTAACTACTTGCTTTGCTCTTGCTGCTTTTAATATTCTCTCTTTGTCTTTTGCTCTTGGAATTTTAATTATGATGTGTCTTGGTGTGGTCCTCTTTGGATTCCTTCTGTTTGGGGTTCTGTGCGCTTCCTGGACTTGTAAGTCTAATTCTTTCACTAGGTGGGGGAAATTTTCTGTCACTATTTCTTTCAGTATGTTTTCAGTATCTTGCTCTCTCTCTTCTTCTGGGATCCCCATAATTCTGTTGGTTTGCTTGAAGTTGTTCCAGAGGTTTCTTATATTATCTTCAATTTTCTGGGTTCTCTTGTCTTCTTGCTTCTGCAGAGGAATGTCTTCTGGCTCTTTATGTTCCAAATCTTTGTCTTGATTCTTGCGATCTTCCAGTCTGTTTTTAGGACTCTGTATAATGTTTTTTATTTCAGACAATGTATTCTTTATTTCTAGTTGATCCCTTTTCATATCCTCATAGGTCTCATTTATTTTATCGGCCTTATCTAGGAAATTCTTGAAAAACCTCATAATCATAGTTTTGAACTCTATATCCAGTCACTTTTTGTCCTCCATTTCTTTTGTTTGTGATCTGTTTCCTTTTCTCGGCATTTTTGCAGCTTCCCTGAGTTGGTAGCCTTTAAAGTCTCTATGTTCAGCTTGGTTGGGGCGGAGTTTCAGGGTGGAGCCTATAGCCTTAGCTTCCGTCAGCCCAGTCCTATGAGGCTCCTGAGACTCAATGTTCCTCAGTGTCCTTCAGTACTCACTGCAAGCACCTCTGAGAGAAAGGTGCTCTTGAGTTTCGCCTGCTACCAAACAGTCTAGGCCCAGACTGGGATTCAGTTCAGTTGGAAGTGGGTTTGGAAGTGGGGTTCAGAGCAGTCTGTAGTTTTTGTCTCCTTCCTGCTAGGGCAATCTGGTGGTACAGTCAACCGTCCGTCCTCTGCACACAATGTGCGCGCCTCCGGGACTGCCTTTCGCTGTACCCCTGGGTTTCTGCCTTACAGCCCAGGCTCCCTCCGTATGAGCCTGGGTTCCCGGGTCTGGCCTAGAACTGGGGTTCAGTGCAGTTGGAACTGGGGCTCAGCACAGTCCGGAGCTTTTGTCTCCTTCCCACTAGGGAATGCCAGCCAGGCACTCACCCTCCCTCTCCTCTCCGGCTCCGTCCTCTCCGGGCACACACAGTGTCTCAGTACCTTAGGCTTTTACAGCTCCTCTGATTTTCTTTCTGGTTTTCTCTTTCCTTCTCGTTGTAGAGTTTCCAGTCAGTCGATTTTCCTGTAGTTCTGGGTAATGTCCATTTTGTATTTTATTGAAATTGTTGTGTGAGGCTGCAGTTAGGAGTTTACCTATGCTGCTATCTTGGTTTCTCCCCAAGGTTTTTTATATTTTAATTCAGGAAATTTGCATTCCTTTTTATGTTTTACTTAGACAACTATAACACGAACATCATTTCCCTGATTATATTCTACATGATGATAGATGAAGCAATTAAAAAAAATGCTAATTTGTATATGAAAATCATCAGGGATCAGAATCCTTTTGAAGAAAATGCACTGAGTGGATAATTTATATTTGTTTAGCAAATAACTAACCATATTTTCAGCTGTACGAAACCTAAACTTTTATAAAGAATGGATTTGGGTAAGATATGTAAACATATAATACCTTAATAAAAAATGGGAAAAAAAAGAATGGATTTGGAGAAATATCAAACTAAGTTTGTCTAGTTATTATACAGTTAACTCTTCAATATGGAAAATAAAAATATTATTTGGGAACTAAACAATAGTACAGTAGACTTCAGATAAATATATTTAAAAAATAAAATAATAATAATGAGTCCTGGTTGGTGTGGCTCAGTTGATTGGGGCATTGTCCTGTGCACCAAGGGGCTGTGGGTTCAATTCCCGGTTAGGGCACATACTCAGGTTTCAGGTTTGAGCCTCAGTTGGGGCACATACGGCAGGCAACCAATCAATGTTTCTCTCTCTCTCTCTCTCTCTTGCTCTCTCTCCCTTTTTCTTCCTCCACTGAATATAAATTTATGTTGCTATGAAAAGAGCTCCTAAATTTATTTAATTTCGAGTCTCACCTATGGTTGTCTTGGCAGGGCCAGACCAAATGTATTTGCAGGTCTTATATGGCTCACGAGCTGGTCGCTCCTAACCCCTGCCTTAGAGTTTTGCCTGTCCCTGTCCCTCCCCACCTCTCCTTACTCATGACCTTGGTCCCCAATTTCCTCCTCATGCATCTTGACAAATCCAGACTGCCTGAATATGGTTGCTAACCCACAAGAATAATTTGGCTCTTGACCAGTCGCTCCTGCCACAAGCTAGACTTTGGCTGACCTCTCCTCCTCACCCCCAGCACAGAACACACCTTTGAAAAATCGCCTCCTGGGCATGTGGGACAAAGGCCTCAGTCGAGGGTGCTTTTCATGTTACAGTCACAGACCGGGTTGTGTGACAGAGCAGGTGACACACAATTTGCAGGCTGACCAACGTGGGTTTGAATCTGGGTCAGTCACGTAGCTAAGTGATCTTGGCCATTTGTTACTGTAAGAGCACCAATGTTACAGGGGGACAGGAGTCTGTAAGAAACCTATGCCAGTACTTGTCACACAGTCAGCATTCAACACACAGAAGGCCCCCTTCCTGGAAGAGAAATTCTGGGACAAGTCCAGGACTGTCAAGGATGCCGCTGGTGTCTGCACGTGGCGGATAAGAGTCGGTCGGTTTCCCATGACCTATTTCACCTGGAACAACTCCCTGGGTAATCTCATTGGACTGAAATGCCCTGAAGACAGACTTTGTCTTTTTATTTTATTTTTTTTGTTTTTATTGATTTCCGAGAGGAAGGGAGAGAGGGAGAGAGAGAGATAGAAGCATATCTTAGCCAGAATCAAACCTGGGACCCTTCAGTCCACAGGCCGACGTTCTATCTATCCACTAAGCCAAACTAGTTAGGGCATTGGTCAGCAAACTCATTAATCAACAGAGCCAAATATCAACAGTACAATAATTGAAATTTCTTTTGAGAGCCAAATTTTTTAAACTTAAACTTCTTCTAACGCCACTTCTTCAAAATAGACTCTCCCAGGCCATGGTATTTTGTGGAAGAGCCACACTCAAGGGACCAAAAAGCCGCATGTGGCTTGTGAGCCACAGTTTGCCCACCACAGAGTTAGGGCAACAGACTCTGACTTGTTCTGGTTGTAGTTTCAGGCCTGGCGTGGTGCTGCCACCCAAACACTATTGTAAATACCTGAATGGTCATCACACCACCTTCTACTGTGTGCCAAGTACGAAGGTAAGTGCTTACATATATTAGCTCACTTAATTACGATGATAGTGCCGAGAAAGAGGCACCATTAACCCCATTTTACAGATGAGCAATTTAAGGCTCAGAATGGTTAAGTAACTTGTCCAAGGTCACTAAGCTCGTGAATGGAAGCACTGAGTTTTGAATCCAGGTCTGTCTGCCTTTAAAGTTCTTTTCACTGTGCCACACTGCTTGACCCAAAATGGACATAATCGGACACGACTCATTTATTACTACAATCTTAAGATGTCAGAGTCTGTGAAAACCTGCAGTAAGCTTATGGCCATGGTCAGCAAACCACGGCTCTCGAGCCACATGTGGCTCTTTGGCCCCTTGAGTGTGGCTCTTCCACAAAATACCACGGCCTGGACGAGTCTATTTTGAAGAAGTGGTGTTAGAAGAAGTTTAAGTTTAAAAAATTTGGCTCTCAAAAGAAATTTCAATTATTGTACTGTTGATATTTGGCTCTGTTGACTAATGAGTTTGCCGACCACTGGTTATAGTAGTTTCTTTACTGTTTTGACTCAGAAATACAACTCACAATTAAAAAGCAGGTAGGGAGGGTAGTAAAGGGAAAAGAACGCCAAATACATGGTGACAGAAGATGCTGTGACTGGGGGTGTTGGCACACATGCAATATACAGATCGTGTATCACAGAAATGCACACTTGGAATCTATATGATCCTATAACCAGTGATCCTATCACCACTGTAATAAAAACAACAATAATGCCCTAGCCGGTTTGGCTCAGTGGTTAGAGGATTGGCCTGTGGACTGAAACCTGGGTTTGATTCTGGTTAAGGGCACATGCCTGGGTTGTAGGCTCTAGCCCCAGTAGGGGGTGTGCAGGAGGCAGCCAATCAATGATTCTCATTCATGATTGATGTTTCTATCTCTCTCTCCCTCTCCCTTCCTCTCTGAAATCAATAAAACTATATTTAAAAAAAATTAAAAAAATTCTAAAACAAAACAAAACAACAAAAACACTGTTCTAAATAAAAAAAAAAATGTGATCCAGTTGATCATGCTTTACTGGAGCGCCCATGGTGAAGGAGTAACCACTTGTGACAGTAATAAATTTGTTTGGCATGTTCATTTAATTACAGAATAAGAAATAAGAATGATCAAGGTCAAGAAATACATCTGGGTCACTCTGGAACACTACATTCTGTTGTCTTCAGGCCTGCTTTTGCAACAAGGCAGACAAAGAACGAACACACGCTAGAAAGTTTCAAACGAATGCATGCGTACCTGCTGCTCTCTATCCACCCTGCCTGAGACAGGAAGATCAGCGGTGTGCTCGGAGCGGCGGTTCCTCACACTGCAGTATTTACGGGGTTTCCGAGGTAGTATTTTCGGACATGCTTTGGCTTCTTTTTAAACAAAGAATATATGTTTCAAAAAAACCTAGAAGGATATTACAGAAAGAAAGTGTTAAGGTCTCACCAATAAATATGGAAACCAGGTGAAAGATCAAGGTGAAGACAGTGGACATTTAATAAAGGGTGGGCAGAGACAGGCCAGGAACCGGTCTGGAACTCAGAACAGAAGTGAATCCTTATTTCATTCCTCACAGTAAAGCAAATATAAGAGAATTAAAAATGTAAATGTCGCTCTTTCCCAGCCGCCGGTAGATGCTCGGGTCTTCCGAGGCAGCTAAGGTCGTGTTGGGTGAGGCCCTCACTTCATCTGGCGGCTAGCACCGCTCAGGGCGGCGCTGGCCAGCACTCACCGTCGCCATGGCCTCAGTCTCGGAGCTCGCCAGCATCTACTTATCCTGACGACAATGAAGTGAGGTGACGGAGGACAGGATCAACGCCCTTGTTAAAGCAGCTGGTGTAAATGCTGACCCTCTCTGGCCAGGCTTGTTTGCACAGGCTCTGGCCCATGTCAACCCTGAGAGTGTCATCTGCAGTGTAGGGGCTGGTGGACCTGCCCCTGCAGCTAGTGCTGCCCCTGCAGGAGGACCTGCCCCCTCCACCCTGCTGCCCCAGCTGAGGAGAAAGTGGAAGCAAAGAAAGAAGAATCTGAGGAGTCTGATGATGACAGGGGCTTTGGTCTTTTTAAAAAAATATATATTTTATTGATTTTTTACAGAGAGGAAGGGAGAGAGATAGAGAGTTAGAAACATCGATGAGAGAGAAACATCAATCAGCTGCCTCTTGCACACACCCTACTGGGGATGTGCCCGCAACCAAGGTACATGCCCTTGACTGGAATCAAACCTGGGACCTTTCAGTCCACAGGCCAACGCTCTATCCACTGAGACAAACCGGTTTCGGCGGGATTTTGATCTTTTTGACTAAACCGGCTCTTTTGTATCACATTCAATAAAAGCTGACCTCTGTTACAGTTGGGCTTACAAAAAAAAAAAAAAAAAAAAAAAAAAAGGTAAATGTTAAAAACAAATCTTAAAAGAAGACATGGAATGCGGTAAGAAAGCCCAGAAATCACAAAGGAAACAATTAGTAAAAATGGCTGCATAAAAATTTAAAGTTTCTGTGTAACAACAAAAAAATCTAGTTAAAAGGCACATCAGAAACTGGGTAAGCTATTTTCAATATATAAAAAAGAGCTAATTTCCTTAATTTACAAAATACCCATATATACAGTACCAGCTCTGCCAGGACAAGTAGTGTTTGTCCTCAGTTGTTTAGTGTATGGTATTACCTGAATGGACTTCTAAAGTCCCTTCCAGCATGAAAATCCGTAAATTAAACCTGCCTATATAAAGCAGAAATCTTAAGCTTTATCTGATTACATGGGAATGTACTATGTTCAAAGTTTGGATGGTTAGAGACAAGTTATGTAGGTTTAGATAATTTAACAATCTCTTCCCCCCCCCCTCTGAGATTGATCAGTCTGTTCCACGTTTCCATGCCTGTGGTTTCCACTCCTGCATTGAGCGTCTGCCCCATAACAGTCTCTGCTCGTCATAGCTACTGGTCATCTGGTCCCTTAGGCTTTTATATATATATGCATACTAGAGGCCCAGTGCACAGATTTGTACACTAGTGGGGTCCCTTGGCTGGCCTGTGGGTATTGGGCCAAAACCTGCTCTCTGACATCCCCTGAGGGGTCCCGGGTGTGAGAGGGTGCAGGCCAGGCTGAGGGACCTCACTGGTGCATGAATTTGTGCACCAGGCTTCTAGTTTTACTTATATTTGACAAAAAGCTTGAATTCCTTGCCAGAATGAGCATCCCAAAGAAGCGTCTTCAGAATGAGAAACTGTGCCTCTACTGCCACCAAGTGGTGGCAAATGCAACGGACAGTGCAGGCACTGAAGGAAAACAAGTGTGAGCTCCAGGACTACATTTATAGACAGGTGTATCTTAGCTCCCCCTCCTGGCCACCGCGATATTTCTCGTTCATTTTCAATGTTGACCTGAAATTAGTAATTATTTTTACTAGAATTTTCATTCTATTTTAATATAACTGCACTGAAATACCACACATTTGATACATCTTACACATTAGATGCTCATTTCATTCCTTTTCAACACATATTTGGGTGCTTACCATGTGCCAGGGTCTGTGAGATGTAGGGGATATAACGAGCACAAACAGAAGTGTTTTTGTGGATCTTATACGTCAGTAATAATCACAGCAGTGACTGTTCTCAGTGTTTTCAAGGGAAGAGAGACAACTCTGTGAGGACATATGACAAAGGCATCTGACTTAGCCAGCTTCTGTCCTCTGACAGAAGCACCACCTGACTGAGAAATGGAGGATCAATGGGAACTAAGTAAGCAAAGAGGACTGGAGGGGAGGGTGGGAGAACACCGCAGACACAGAGAGAAAATAGCCTACACCAGTGGTTGGCAAACTCATTAGTCAGCAGAGCCAAATATCAACAATACAATGATTGAAATTTCTTTTGAGAGCCAAAATTTTTAAATTTAAACTTCTTCTAACGCCACTTCTTCAAAATAGACTCGCCTAGGTCCTGATATTTTGTGGCAGAGCCACACTCAAGGGGCCAAAGAGCGTCATGTGGCTTGTGAGCCACAGTTTGCCGACCACGGGCCTAAGCCTGTTGGGTGGAGAAGACAGAGAGAGCCAAGGCCTGTGGGTGCAGGAGGCCTATGTGGCTGGGGCCAGTGAGAAGAACTGGTGGTTTAGGATGTACAGAGGTAGGTGGGTGTGAGCAGCTGCAGGGTCAAGGGAGGGCACGTGTAGATTTGAATCATTAATCCAAGAGAAAGGAGAAGCCAGCAGTAAGCAAAACGGGGAGACTGGGAAAGGGATGACGTAGTCAGCAATACCTTCTGAAGAGGCGACTGGGGCTGTGTGTAGAGCGTCACATGGAAAAATCCAGAGCAGAGATTGCAGAAGCCTGGAGGAAGCGAGGCCTGGACTAAGGCACCAGTGATGATGCAGAGATGTGAAAGAGGCACAGAAGACGAGGTCACCAGGGCTTGGTGATCCACTGGATGCTGGGTGAAGGGAAGGGAGAGGAGGAATCCCAGTTTCCCATGATAGAGGTCCCAGAGGGTGGCCTGGTAGGAGATTGTTCGGGCCTGTGGGTGTTGAGTTGGGGTGTCTGAGAGGTCTTAAGAGGCAATACCATTCAGCTAGCTAGACATAGAGGTCTAGCTCAGAAAGGCAGGCCATGCTAGAAGGACAAAGTTGGGATTCAAGATGGCGGGCATGGATTTGTGCCCAATGTCAGAATATAGGGCACAAGGGGGAACAACACAATGAGAAGATGAGGAACTGTACTATTAATGACCTCAGGAGAGGAGAGTGAGCCCGAGGGGTGGCAGGGGGAGCAGAAGGCTGGGGGTCAGGGAGGGTGCAGCAGCCAAGGGAAGACAGTCTCAAACGAGAGATGGGAGCAGCATCAAATTTCAGCTGCAGAGAACCAGCGAGCAAGATGCGGTTTTTGTTTTAGTGGAGAGATAAAGGCAGAAGGCAGACTCCAGTGGGTTGAGGAAAGAGACAGGCATGGATGCACTGAACAGGGCAGCTCTTTAAAAAAGTTGGCCCTTCAAAGGGGATGGGAGGTTGGGAAATAACTTGAAAATGAAGAGGAACGTGGGTCAAGGGAGATTCACCCCCTCTTTCTTTTGTGATGGGAGACTTGAGCCTGGGAAAGAGCCAGTTGAGTACAGGTGACTGCACAGGTGAGAGAATGAAAAGCTGACAGTAACAGGGTAGGGTTTTGGACAAGTGGGAGGAGGTGACATCCAAGTCACAGGGTAGCCTAGGACAGGAAGAAGGAAGATAAGATGGGTACAAGTAGGTAAGGCTTTCAGTTCTGGTAGCAGAATAGGGAGATTCCCACCAGGTAGTGTTAAGTTCCTCTATGAAGTGATAGCATGAACCCACAACCCCAGGCATGTGCCCTGACCGGAATCCAACCATGACCTCCTGGTTCATAGGTCAACACCCAACCTTATTGAACCACACCAACCCATTTAAATGGGCTTTGAGTCTGAGATCAAGTTTGCATGAAGTAGCCCAACCGGTGTGGCTCAATGGTCGGATGCCAACCTATGAACCAGGAGGTCACTGTTCGATTCCCGGTCAGGGTACATGCCCTGGTTGAGGGCTCGATCCCATTGTGGGGTGTGCAGGAGGCAGCCAACCAATGATTCTCTCTCATCATTGATGTTTCTATTTCTCTCTTCCACTCCCTCCCTCTCTGAAATCAATAAAATAATATATTGAAGTATATGTTAAAAAAAGTTTGCTAAAAAAAAAAACCCCACACAAGTGGAAGGTTGATAATCTGCTATATCCCATTTGCAGGTTGCAGCAATCCTACCATGTTATTTGGTCAATCACGGTTTCATTCGATGGAAACAGAGAGAAAATGGGGGTTTGATATTGGCAAGGCTACAGATATGTTGGGGACCATTAGTTCCCGGAGGGCAGGGACCTGTCATAGCCATCACTGCATCACTCTGTGACTGACGGATCAGAGTATCAGAGCCCAGGTACTATCAAAATGATCAGCACAAGGGTGAGTATGTCTCCATTTCAGTTTGCCTCATGGTGCTTCCGTAAAAAACAACATCCAAAAACCCACTAAGGGTAGGGAACAAACAGCCTAATTTCCTACATGCCTTCTCCTCACTGAGAAGAGGCCCGTGGATTATTTTATCCCCCAGTCAACCAGCTTTAAGGCTCTTGCCATAGTTCTATCCAGGGACACTATCTTACACCTTGGAAAGCTAAGGGACATCTTTCAACTTTTAGCTTCATAGTTAGGTGCTTATGTACCTGGTTTAAAAATTGCAATGCTCAAAAACACATGCTTAAAACACTGTATTTGTATCCACAGAACTCATCTCCATTTTTTTTCTAAAGTTATTTACTTAAAGTGACAGAGAAAGGGAAATAGCATAAGACTGTCAATACTGAAGTCTGGGGGATGGCACAAACAGGGAGACCATAGAAGGCGGATGAGGTACTCAGGCACCTGATGGTGGTGGCCTGGACCAGGCGGTGACAGTGGTGTGTGTGTG